CATTGGAAAGGATGCAAAGGAGATTTACCAGGATGGTACCAGGGATGAGGGACTTCAGTTATCAGGAGAGGCTGAGAAGCTAGGATTATTCTCCTTGGAGCAGAGATGGTTAAGAGGAGACTTAATACAAGTTTTCAAAATTATGAGGGGATTCGATAGGGTGAACAAGGAGAAACTATTTCCACTGGTGGGTTGGTCAGTAACCCGAGGACACCGATTTAAAATAGTTGTTAAAAGAAACAGAGTGGAGGTGAGGAGAAATGTTTTCACACAGCGAGTTGTTCGGATCTGGAATGCACTGCCTGAAAGGGTGGTGGAAGCCGATTCATTAACAACTTTTAAGAGAGCAGATAATTATTTGTGGAGGACATGTTTGCAGGGCTATGGGGAGAGCGCAGGGGAGTGGGATTGATTTGGGTAGCTCTTTTCAAAGAGCCGGCACAGACACGATGCGCCGAATGGCCTCCTTCTGTGTTGTATAATTCTATGATTATTCTATGATTTTAAATAGTCATTCTGGGGTTTGACAATAGGATCCACTGGGAATCTTCCCACTCGGCTCATTTCATGCTGAGATGTGTCACCCACCGGGAAGTTCGCAGAGAGTTCTTTGTACCTACCATCCAACGAGTGAGGCTCAAACCCACCCTTGATGGATGACAGACAACCAACAAGTGACTATCCTCCTTGAAGGGGGAGGTAAGCAGGGTCTCCTTGGAGCTGAATAGGTGCAAAGTTGACATGTTTGGAACGGAATATCAGAATTAAGCCAGCCCTCTGTAGCAGTCTCTAGTCTGGTTCCTGGCAAGCAAAGTGGTTTTAGAAAACTATCCAGATTCCAGCAGTACTCCAATGCACACTGGTGTCCTCAAGCCTTGCCTTTTGCCATCCTATGCCTAATATAGAATTAGGTAAATGGGATGCGGCCCTCCAGTGAATGTGCATTCCATTCCGACAATCTTCGTGGAGTCCTGTAGCTCAGTGGTTAGAGCACTCGCTTTGCAAGTGAGAGACCTGAGTTCAATTCCAGGCAGGGCGAAACCTTGGGCAAGTTTCCTTACTCCACACAGAGCCTAATAATAATCCCTCCAAAAACAAAAAACAATAATAAATTGGTCATTTTCAATCTACGACTGTTTGTGGGACATTGCTGTGCGCAATTGGCTGCCGCGTTCGCCCACAAATATACAGTCAATTCACTTTGCAGTGTGTTCTGTGAAGCGCTTTGGGACGTCCTCTCGACGTGAAAAGCGCTATATCAAATGCAAGGATTATTATTATTATTATTATTATCTATCTCTGGGATTTCCATGTGTAGGTGGGATGCATGGAATTCTCAGTTTGGTTTGAATACTCTTAAGCACGGGGATGGGTTTCCGCATGTGTCAGACACTCGGCTGACCTGAAATGAATCACAAGGGCAGGCTGTCTATAAAACACCTGGCTGACAAAAAATATTGCAATGTGGAATTAGGCCTGACTGTGGGGGAGGGGGGATCTCACCTGGTTGACCTCCTCCTTGGAGCTGAAATCTGAAACCAGGATGTTGCTGCCGTTGGCCATGAGGTTGAGGGAGATGCCAGACAGTGAGTGTCAGGGAGCAGGGTTCGGTGCAAGCCCCTTCTCATTATCTTCACTCGATTGATCGTGGTTCCCAGCGTTGGTTGTTTCAGAGTAGCCACCCCAACTGTTCAATCACTCACTCTCTCTGCACCAACCGCATCCAAAAAGCAAATACCCCTTCCCCTTCCATCATCCATGCCCTCTCCAATTCTCCCTGCTCCTCAAACTCTGCAGTCATTTCTCCCTCACAACACCAAATCCTCTCTATAACCACTCTCTCCTCCGTCCCCACCCACCAGCAAACCTATCCGCATTTCCCTCCAAAATGTCCACTCCTTCTCCAATAAAGCCCTTTCTATCCATGGTCCTCATTTTCCAAGCTTGCCTCGGTCTATCCTTCTCTTCCTCTGGCTGTTTCTCATCCTTTGATTATTATTATTATTATCTCACCCTCTACCAACCTTCCTCTTTCTTCCTCAAAATCCTCCTAGTTTACCACACCTCCCAAACCTCCTGGCCCCTTCTTCACCGATATCTCCTCTCATCCCTGACCCTCTGCACTGAACACCTGCTTATAATGGGTGATTTCAATCTCCACCTAATCTCCCTTTGCAACACCTCCTCGGATTTCGCTGCCCTCCTTTCCTCCCTAAACCTCACCCTCCACATCAACTTGCGAACCCCTCAACCTTGGCCACCCCCTTAATCTTGTTATCACTCATGGCTTTGATATTTGTGACCTGTCTATCATGGGCAAGGACATGGGCCATCTCGGACCACTTGCTCATCTCCTCCTCTCACATCCCTCTCCCCTTTTCCAAGCGCTCCATCATTTTTTTTGGACCCTGCAAAAAGCTTCCCCCTCAGTCCCTCACAAATGCCCTCTTTTCCTCGGATCTCCTCTCCCTCTGGCCCTCCACCCACGGAGATCCTGATGCAACCATCAAGGTGCTGAATGACTATCTCTCCACAACCTTTAATTCCCTGGCTCCCCTGAAATCCAGGGCTGTTTCCAACTCCACCCGCAATCCTGGTATAACAGTCGTCTCCCCTCACTTAAAACCCAAACCTGGTTGCTCGAGCACAGATGGCAGAAATCCGGCCTCACGATTCACCACTATCTGTGGCTCGAGAACCTCCGCACGTACCGCCTCTCCCTTTCATAGGACAAAACTGACTTTTGCTCCAAAGTCATCCTGGAGGCCAAAAACAACCCAAAGACACTGTTTCCCACCATCCATCACCTCTTCCGTGCACCACTGCCCTGGTCTCTCCCTCACTCTCACCAAACCAGTGTGCAATCTAGGGTTTAACCCCCAGCTGACCTTCCTCCCCCACATCTGGTTACTGACCAAGACCTTTGGCACATTGCACACCTCCGACTATTATACTTAACCTCTGGTTGGTGTGACAGTGAGCTGTCACAAGTCACGGACCCCAGCACTGTAATTGAATGATCACTTATGATCTGTTACAGAAAGATCCAGTCAGGGAAGTGGTGCTCGGAAGAGGTGATGGACAGTAGGAAACAGTCAAAAGACAAACTGATAGAAATTCCAGAGTGCCAACCACATTTTCCCCACAACCACACCCACCCCACCCCTTACCCCCCAAGTTCTTATCCAGGTCATGCCCCTCAACGATATGCCCCAAACAACCTCCCACTCCCTGACCCGAACCACATTTCACTCCTGGGACCCCTGACCACATCACCCAGACCCCCTGACTCCACACGGCTTCCCACCCACCAACATGCCCACGATTCTGAGCTTGTTACCGTTTAATGGCCAGTGTCTGGCACCAGAATATTTGGGATCGAGGCTACCCTCTGCAGTGGTTTCATTATACCTGAGACAGGAAAAATCAGACTGAATCACAATAACAACAATACTTGCATTTGATACAGCGCCTCATCACGTCAGGATGACATTTCAAAGTGCGTCACAAGATTCACTGTAAAGTAATAATAATGATGATAATCCCTGCATTTGATATAGCGTCTTATCACGTCTTCGAGACGTCTCAAAGAACTTCACAGGATCAAATGAATTGACTCTATATTTTGTGGGCAAACGTCGCAGCCGAAGTGGACAGCAACATCCCACAAACAGTCATGGAGTGAATGATTCATTTTATCTGCGGGAGTGTCGACCAGGACACCAGGAAAGAGAAATTCCCTTTTTCGAGTTGTGCCGTGGGATCTCTAATGCCCACCTGAACAGGCAGACAGGACTTCTGTTTAATATCATATTTAAACAACAGCATCTTTGACAATGCAGCATGCCCCTCCCCAGTACTGCATTGGAGTGCCAGCTTAGACTTGTGAGTTGAAAATCCCCAATGTGCAGCTTCAACCCACAACCTTCTGACTCAGACGCAAGAGTTCCACCAAATGGCACAACTTCAGGGCACGAGTGATGGCATCGGCAGGACCTGGAAGGGCAGACAAGTCACTGGGGACAGGGTATCCTCCCACTTAGATCCTATTAAGCCTAACTGGTAGGGTGGTTCTAGCTGGTCAAGCGGAAGCTTGCTAGACACCAATATCAATGGAGAACGTACTGGAGCAGTTACCTCATTGCACCCCAAGCCTTGGCTCTCACCAACCTGTGCCTAATAGTCCAGAATTATGTAAAATGGTGTGTACCAACACCGCTTTCTTCCACCTCCGACGCATCGCCCGTCTCCGCCAATACCTCACTCCAAAAGCTGCTGAAACTCTGGTCCATGCCTTTGTCACCGCTTAGCTGGACTATTCAAATACCCTCCTCGTCAACCTCCCTCCCATTACCATCCATAAAATCCAGGTCATCCAAAACTCTGGCGCCCGCATTCTTACCCGCACCAAACTCCGCTCCCAGATTACCCCAATCCTTGCCAGACTACACTGGCTGTCTGTCCCAGAGAGGATCGATTTCAAGATCCTCACCCTTGTCTTCAAATCCCTCCACTCCTCTGCACCCCCCCTACCTCTCTGACCTCTTTCCTCAAAACAGTGCCCATTGCCTTCGTTCCTCTGGGTCTGGCCTCCTCCTTGTCCCCCAAGTCCTCCGCTCCACCCTCGGCGGCCGTGCCTTCAGCCACTATGCCCCGAGGCTCTGGAACTCCCTTCCTCACTCCCTTTGCTTCGCCCCCTCTCTTCCTATTTTCAGGTCTTGGCTAAATACCTTTCTTTTTGATTGTGCCTTTGGTCACCGTTACTATAAAGCGCTCTGAGGCGCCGTCAAGCATGGAGGGCGCTATATAAATCCAAGTTGTTGTTGTATCACCACGGAGAGAGTGCACATTCCATTCCAACATGTGTAGGTGGGATGCATGGAATTCTCAGTTTGGTGTGGACACTTTTAAGCACGGTGATGGGTTTCCACATGTGTCAGACATCCGGCTGACCTGAAAACAATCGCAAGGGTAGGATGCCAATAAAACGCAAAGCGTGGTTCAATCTGTAACTTTTATTAATAATGCCAGATGTGAGGATATCACGTCTTTGGGTTCATTTACAGTACTTTGTAAACGTGTATTGGTTATAGTGTATTTCTTTTCAGCGGGGGTCACACGCTTAAAGTGTCTACTGAGCTTGAGCTGTCTGCACCCCAATCTCCCGTGTTAATGATGGCCAGGATTGTGTCAGCCTGGAGCAGGTGTCGCTATCTCAGGAAGGCTCGGAGGAACTCGTTGTAGGATATGATTCCTTTTAGGTCCTTGTCGTAATATGTCGAGAGATGGTAATATTCCTCCTCAGACATGAAGATGCCGTATTGCTGAAGGACCTGCACAGGCACACACACCAGTCACCAGCGGTAAACACATCCAACCCCACCACCTACACCCCCCAGCTCAATCCCATCACCACCTACACCCCCCAGTTCAACCCCCACCCCACCACCTACACCCCCAGCCCAGCCCCCACCCCATCACCTACACCCCCAGCCTAACCCCACTACCTACACCTCCAGCGCAACCCCACCACCACCTACACCTCCAGCCCAACCTCACCATCACCCCCAGCCCAATCCCACCATCACCCCCAGCCCAATCCCACCATCACCCCCAGCCCAACCCCACCATCACCCCCAGCCCAACCCCACCATCACCCCCAGCCCAACCCCACCATTACCCAGCCCACCCACCACCTACACCCCCAGCCCACCCACCACCTACACCCCCAGCCCACCCACCACCTACACCCCCAGCCCACCCACCACCTACACCCCCAGCACCCCCACACCATCACCTACATCCCCAGCCCACCCACACCATACCTACACCCCCGAACCAACCCCACCACTACCTACACTCCCGGCCCAAGCCCACCACTTCCTACACACCCAGCCCAACCCCACCTCCACCTGTACCCCCAGCCCAACCCCACCACCACCTACACTCCCGGCCCAACCCCAACTCCACCTGTACCCCCAGCCCAACCCCACCACCACCTACACTCCCGGCCCAAGCCCACCACTTCCTACACACCCAGCCCAACCCCACCTCCACCTGTACCCCCAGCCCAACCCCACCACCACCTACACTCCCGGCCCAAGCCCACCACTTCCTACACACCCAGCCCAACCCCACCTCCACCTGTACCCCCAGCCCAACCCCACCACTACCTACAACCCCCGGCGAAGCCTCAGGTCATATTGTCAATACAGACATCTGGGGTATGTGCAGGGACTGGCAATGTCTCACTGTTCCGACCAACCAGCAGCAGGAGGTCACTGGATGGTGTTCTGACCTCCCCCTGTGACCCTCCCCCTCTCCCTATCCCCATCGCTCTCCCCCTCTCGCCATGCTCCCCCCTCCCCCTCTCGCCATGCTCCCCCCTTCCCCTCTCGCCATTCTCCCCCCTCCCCCTCTCGCCATGCTCCCCCTCCCCCTCTCGCCATGCTCCCCCTCCCCTCTCGCCATGCTCTCCCCTCTCTCCCCCCCCATCTACCCCCGCTTCCTCCCCCCTTTCCACAGGGACAGACCTGTTTGAAGCTGTGAAGGGAAATACAGCCACAGGCATCGTCATCATAGTTCTTAAAGGTTCGTCTCATCAGCTTCCAGCATTCCGTTACTCGCGCCTGGATTCGCATCATAAAGTGGGTGAAAATCAGGTGCTGCACCCCAGGATTCAGCTATAAGAGAAAGAGAGGGAGAGAGAGAAAGAGAGGGGGATCAGAGAAAGAAAGAGAAGAAATGAGATGGGGTGGGGGAGAGAGAGAGAAAGAGAAGCAGCAAGAGCAAGAGAAAAAGAGGGGTGAGAGAAAGAGAGCAAGAGAAAGAAAGAACGAGATCAAGAGAGAGAAAGGAGAAAGAGCAAAAGAAAGAGCAAGAGTGAAAGGATGAGGAGAGGGGGAGAGAAAAAGAGGGAGGAGAGAAAAGAGATGGAGGGGAGAAGAGAGAAACAGTGGGAGGAGAGAGTGGAAATAATAGAGAGAACGGAGAGAGATAGTGAGAGGTATGAAGGAGTGAAAGGAATAGAAGAGAGAGAAAGGGGAGAGAAGAGAGAAGAATGGACACATCAGAAAGAAAATGGAAGATTACTGCTATACAAACAACCTAATGACAACAGAAAAGTCTAGCTCGTCTGACCAACTTCACAGATTGTTTGAGATGGCAGTCCAAATTGGGAAGGTAAATTGTTACTGGTCTCCGTGTCTGACATGATCAGCCAGGTATCGTGACACACACAGAAACCCATCACCGTGATCAGCCGAGAGAGTGATATTCGGAAACCCATCACCATGACCAGCCGGGTGTCTGACACGTGGAAACCCATCATCGTGATTAGCCAGGTGGGTTTCTGCATGTGTCAGACATCTGGCTGTCATGGTGATGTCAGACACCCATCACCATGCTTAAGAGTATCCAAACCAATTAGAGAGTTCTATATATGCCACCTATACATGGAAACTCCTGTGTATTGGAATGAAAGGGGCATTCTCATATACTTAACTAATTCCAGAGTGTATTGGGCATAGGTTAGCAAGAGCCAAGGTTCAGGGACCCCAGAGAGTGCGCTGGGTTAATTGCTGGACATAGTTTGCCATTGAGAGCACTGTATGGCAAGCTTTCCCGTTGCTTGTCCAGCTAGGAGCACCCATTAGGGCTTTGGCTTGCAGGGTTAACAGGAGCTGAGCCAGAAGAGTCCCTGCCTCCAGTGACTGAGGAGGAAAGGGATTAGAGGGGACAGGAAAGAACAAGGAATTGGGATCAAGCTTCATTGGAGGGAGTGAATATGGAGATTGACACAATGTGTGGAAATGGCTCCTGTTGTGGGTGGTCACAGTGGCTGGGGGGTCAGGCTGCTGGCTTTGGCTGGCTCTGTGCTGTGTCCGCGCTCACTTACTGGAATTTTAGGCTGCGGGATCTTCACTCTGTGGAGGAGGCTGGTCTCCTGTGGCTTCAACATCAGGACAAAGTGATGGAGGAAGTCGGTGTAGCCAAAGCGGCCATTGCTGTGAACCTGGTACTTGTCAATCAGGCACTGCATCTCGTCCGGTTTGATTTTAATGCAGAATTTTTCCATGATCTCTGCCGTGAGAGAGGCGGGAGGACATCAAAATCTGTCTGACAACCCAACGGGTAGTGCTCGTACATCACACCACTATTTCTTCAGAATACACACACACACTCACATTCTCTCACACTCACAGGCTCACACACACACTTAATCATACACATTCACTCATACACACTATGTCACACAAACACTCACACTCACATGCACACCACCTCTCACACACTATCTCACATACACACATGCTCACACACACATTCTCTCACGCACTGCCTCAATCACACTGTCTCACACAACATCTCTCACACTCACGCACATTCTCACACACACTATATCTCACTCACACACTCAGACACACACATTCTCTCACGCACACACATTCGCATACACGCACTAACACACAAACACATTCTCAGTCATACACTTAATCACACTCACACACTGTCACACACTCACAAACTTTCACTCACACTCACACACACCGTCTCTCCCTCACACACTGTCTCATACACTCTGTATCTCACATACACACTCTTGCGCACACACACACTCTCAGACTCACTCTCACACTCTCCACACTCTCTCCACTCTCATACACAGACACTCACTCTTACACTCCCACTCACACACACTCTCACACCCTTACACACATATTCACACTCCCACTCTCTCACTCACACTCTCATACACACACTATCTCTCACACACTCACACTTTCACACTACATTCTCATTCACACCCTGTCTAATGCACACTCTTAATCACACATACTCACTCTGTGTCACATTCGCATACTGTGTCACACTCGCAAACTCACATTTTGACTCACCCACACCATCTCTCTCACACACTGTCTCAGTCTCTCTTGCAAACACACACTCAGACTCAGCTCTTACACTCACTCACACACGTTCTCTCTCATACACACAATATCTCACACACACACACACTCTCACACACATGCTCCCTCTCACACATTTTCTCTCAGACACTGTCACACACTCTCAGACACACTAACTCACACACACACACACATTCTCACTCTTAATCACACATACTCTCACGCACACTGTCACACACACCATCTCTCACACACTGTCTCATACACAGTCTCTTGCACACACACTCTCATACACACTCACAAACACCATCTCTCTCACACTCATACACTATCTGTCTCACACACACTCACACAATATCTCGCACACTCTCACACCCACTGTCTCACACACACACTTTCTCTCAGACACACTCTCTTTTACACTCACACAGTCACACACAGCCTCACACTGTCAGACACATCATCTCACATACACTCCCTTTCACTCTCTCAAACACATTCTCACTCACTCATTCTCTCACACACACCCTCTCACATGCTCTCATACACACACTGTCACACACACACACAAATTCGCACACATTCACTCTCACACCCCCACACATTGACACACACACTCATACACACGCACTCTCACACATGCACACTCATACGCACACTCGCGCGGACACACATGCACTCTCGCACACTCACACACTCCCGCACACACTCTGATGCATACACTAAGACACATACTGTCTCTGATGCACTCTCACACACTCTCCCTCACACACTTTCTCACACACTCATACACAATCACTCACATACAAAATATCTCACACACTCACTGTCATCTCACACATTCTCACATTCTTTCACTCACACCATCTCCCTCACACTGTCAGACACACTCTTTCACCCACATCCTCACACACACACTCACATTCTTTCTGTCAGACACTTTCACAGTCCTTTTCACATTCACACAAACATTCTCACTCACACCCACTCTTACACTATGCCTCACACTCTCACTCTCTCACACTGTCTCTCTCACACTCTGTCTCATACACTGTCTCGCTCACTCACATACACACACACGTTCTCACACACTGTTTCTCACACACCATCTCTCACACACTGTCTCATTCATACACTCACACACGTACTCTCCCTCACTTTCTCACACACACTTGCACACACACACACTCATACACACTCAAACAATCTCACACACACTCACACACACTGTCTCACACCCGCTCTCACACCCACTGTCTGTCTCACACACTCAGTCTCTCACTTTCACTCACACACACCATCTCCCTCTCACAAACTCTGACACACTTTCACACACATTCTCACGCACTCTCACACTGTCAGACACACTATTTCACAGTCCTTTTCACTCACACAAACATTCTCTCACACACTTACACTATGCTCGCTTTCTGACAGTCTCTTACACACTCAGTCACACTCACACATGCTCTCACTCACACACACTATCAGACACACACACACACACTCACTCTTACACTCTCACTCAGAGTCTCTCACTCACTCTCATATACGCACTCTCTCACAAACTCTCTCATACACATTCTCCCTTTCTCTGTGTCCAACCCCACCATGTACAGCATTTCAAAACGCTGCTCTGCATGAAGGACGCTGGGTAAAGATGAGTTGCTGTCATTTTGACATTCCAGGTGCTGTATCAAAGCACAGGATTATGTGTATTGCTGTTCACATTGGGGCTCAAGTGGGATTTTGTTGGAGAGAATAACCTGACAGCAACTGCTTGTGAAGTACTTAAAGGAGCTTTGATGCTATAAAAGTCCCATGTCCCATCTTTGGTCTGGCTGGTGCTGCTGCTCATAGTGTGGTTCCCATAGTGAGGAACCATAGTGTGGTTCCCACCAGACCAGCTTCACACATTCACGAGAATCACAAAATAACAAATTACATTTGTACAGCACCTTTCACTTCGGGAGGATATCTTAAAAGGGCTGGACAGTCAAGGATGTGCACCTGAGCACTGAGTTGGGATCAGGAAGGGTTAAAGGCAGGAAGGGTGGGGGTAGGAGAGTGACTGAAGGCACATAGTGTAAGCTATACTTCAATGAGGTGCTATATTTTCAGAAATACCGTCCTTCAGATGAGATGTTAAACCGAGGTCCCATCTGTCCGTCTCTATTCAGGTGGATGTTACAAGATCCCGCGGCGCTATTGGAAAAGTGAAGGGAATTTCTCTCTCGGTGTCCTGGCGGACAATCCCCCAAATAAAATTGGTCACTCACTTCATGGTTGTCTGTGGGAGGACATTGCTGTGCGCAACTGGCTGCCACATTTTGCCCAGAAAATACATAATCGCTGCATTTTACAGTGAATCTTGAGAAATGTTTTGATGTCTTGACGTGATAAGGCACTGTGTCAAATGCAGAGATTATTATTAATGATTATTACTATAGGGTACAAACCCAGGAAGTCAGCGATGTCAATCTGTCCCTGACGCTCACTGTCCTTGTGTTTACATTCCTTCTCGATCTCCTTCCAGAACATGTACATGTGCTTCCTCAGCTTCTGCTCGATGGTCTCGCAGTTCCTCAGTGTGGTCTGTGAACTGGTGCTGGAGCCTGGCCGCGGAAACCCCTCCTCCACCTGGCGACACAAACAGTGGCCCAAACCATGGTAACATCAAGCTCTGCCGTCTATTGGTGAACAACTCACCCCAATCTCGATGGTGCCCTGGCACATCAGCCACTGAACCAGATCACTCCAACAGGAATCGCTCGGCCCCCTACGCCCGCCCACCTCCCAGCCCCCAGCTTTCAGAGTAGAATAAATTATAGGCAAACGCAGTTTGTGTCCACCAACATCTCGTCTCACACTACACACCGTGAGCCGATCACCCCTAAAGGTGGTTTGGGGCAAGCTTCACTGGCTCCCCATCCTCCAGATGACTGAGTTCAAGATCCTTGTCTTCACCTTTGAAGCCCTCCAGTCTTGCTCCTCCCTATGTTTGCGACCTGTTTAAAACGTCACCAACCTGTCCACTCCCTTCGCTCTCCAGGTACTGGCCTGCTCCATGTCCCCCGTCATGTCTGCCCCACCATTGGTAATCGGGTTTTCAGCTTTTCTGCCCCTACCTTCTGGAACTTCATCCTTGAGAACCTGTGCCTCACCACCTCCCATGCCTCCTTCAGGGCCCGTCTCTAGACCACACCTTCGGTCTTCCTCCCACCTAAACCCTCCCTACCCTCCATTCCTCTTGATTCAAACTCCCAGCTCGGGTACAAACCTTTAACTGCCCTGACATGGGTCTTGAACTCAAAACCTGCTGACTCATATGTGAGAGGGTGAGTGACCGAGCCTGGGTTAAGGGTAAGGTAAGATAGACAGTTCCTTCTTTTTACGAGATCTTTGATGTCTAGCCGGACAGGAGCAATTGGGAGCTGGGTTTAATGTCTGATCCGAAGGTCAGCTGCTTGTTTTGAACTGAGTTGAGTTGTGCATGGCTTTATCTCACACGGTAGCAAGCGGCTAGCGTGCGAGTGGCTGTGTACACTTTGCTTGGCCGGATTTGGCCATGAGTCGCTGTGACGGTTACCTTCCCAGCAATGGTTCTGGGCCGGCTGGTGGCTGCTTCGGCATGGGAGCTGCTGCCAGGTTTGCCGGGACTCCTGGGCTCTGCACCTGCCGGCTTCTCGCTTGTAAACTGCTTCAGAAACTTGTGGTACTCCAGATTGCCAAAATCATTCAGTGGCAGCAGGTTCCAGAGGTTTTCAAACTGAAAGTATTTTGAGATAGAAGCCACAGTATTAAATGCTGCTATCTACACACAGAAAGTCCATCTGGAAAGGAAAACACACGCTCTCTCCCTGGGCAGATGCAATCTAATCATCTTATCTGAGTATTAGGTACAGGTTAGCAAGAGCCAAGGCTTAGGGTCTCCAGAGTGTTCATTGGGGTAACTGCTAGAGTCTAACCAGCTAAAATTTTGCCCACAAAATATAGTTAATTCACTTTATAGTATATTCTGTGAAATGATTTGAGACGTCTCGAAGACGTGATAAGGCGCTATATCAAATGCAAGGATTATTATTAAAACTACATAGATTGCCATTGAGAGCACTTGTCACATTGAGAATCCTTAAACCCAGTCTCAATTTGGAGTTTTTTTTCCAAAACGTCTTAAACAAGAAACCAAATCCAGACTGGGTTAACAACTTTCCACATACCCTAAACTGTGTACACTGTCTGAAGCCACACAGCACTGACACTGATCCCAAGTATACAGATTGTGCAGCACGGAAACTGGCCATTTGCCCCAACCAGTCCGTGCCGGTGTTTATACTCCACACGAGCCTCCCCCATTCCTTACTCCCTTCCACACCCTTCTATTCCCCTCTCCCTCATGTGAAGGTCTCACTTCCTCTTGAGTGCATCTACACTATCTGATTCAACCACTGCTTCAGGCAGCGAGTTACACAATCTCACTACCCTCTGCAGGAAGTAGTTCTCCTAAATTCTCTTTTAGATCTCCTAGTCGCTACCTTATATTTGTGTCCCCTTGTTACTGACTTCCCAATCAATGGAAACAGCCTATTTATGTTAACCTTATCAAACCCTTAATAAAATTATAAAAGAGTTTGATCAGGTTACCATAATAGACTGTTTCCACTGGTTGATCTGTAACCAGGGGACACATATATAAGAAAACTATAGAATCATAGAAGTTTGCAGCCCAAAGCAGACTATTTGGCCCATCGTGCCTGTGTCAGCTCTTTGAAACAGCTAACAACTCATCCCACTCGCCCGCTCTTACCTCATAGCCCTGCAAATTGTTCCTTTTTGAGACCTATCTAATTTTGTTTTGAAAGCTGTTATCGAATCTGCTTCCACCACCCTTTCAGGCAGTGCATTTCAGACCATAACAACTCTCTGGGGAAAACAATTTCTCCTTGGCTCCCCTCGTTTTTTTTGCCAATTACCTTAAATCTGTGTCCTCTGGTTACCGACCCACCCGCCAGAGAAAACAGTTTCTCCCTATCTACTCTACCAAAACCTCTCATAATTTTGAACACCTCTATTAAATCTCCTCTCAACCTTCTCTGCTCTAAGGAGGATAATCCCATCCTCTCTAGTCTCTCCTCATAATTGTAGTCCCTCATCTCTGGTATCATTCTTGTAAATTTTTTCTGCATCCTCTCGAAGATCCTGACATCCTTCCTCAAGTGTGGTGCCCAAAATTTGACACAATACCCCAGCTGAGGCCGAACCAGCGATTTGTAAATTTTAGACTAGGGGATCTAAATGAAAATGTAATAGCAATAATCAATGCATTTGATATTTGCGTGGAGTCCTGTAGCTCAGTGGTTAGAGCACTCGCTTTACAAGTGAGAGACCTGAGTTCAATCCCAGGCAGGGCGAAACCTTGGGCAAGTTTCCTTACTCCACACAAAGCCTAATAATAATCCCTCCAAAACCAAAAACAATAATAAATTGGTCATTTTCAATCTACGACTGTTTGTGGGACATTGCTGTGCGCAATTGGCTGCCGCGTTCGCCCACAAATATACAGTCAATTCACTTTACAGTGTGTTCTGTGAAGCGCTTTGGGACGTCCTCCCGACGTGAAAAGCGCTATATCAAATGCAAGGATTATTATTATTATTATTATTTATCATGCCATCTCAAAGTGCTTCACAGGATTTACTGTAAAGTCGAGTGACTGTGTATTTTGTGGGCGAAACGCAGCAGCCAGTTTGCACATAACAATGTTCCACAATATTCCTGCAGTCTGTAGTAATGTGCAAATAATATAGATGTATAATTACATAATATTTTTAAGGGAAATGGGGAGGGCTGCCCCTTTAAATGGATTCTGTTGCAGAAGCTGCTTGCAAAAGACGTAGCAAGAGAGTACATTAGTTATACGAGCTGCAGCAATGTACAGGTCGAGGGTTGTTTGATTGACAGTCAGTTAACAAGCTGCCTGGAGAGTAAAATAACACGTGGGCGCCAGCACGGGAAAAGGCCCGAGCATTTGCATCATACAGTGGGAGGAGCCACACACCTATAAAAGGCAATGCTTGGCGCTCCTCATGGTCACTAATATCTCTTTACTAATGTTGTATTGTGCTGCATGTTGATATAGTTATGTGTGTCAGTTATATTTGATTCCATTGTTGTTTATCTTAAATTGTTATGTTCCTTATATGTAAGGTATCCTAGGGTTGCTCGGTCTTGATAAAGACCTATTGTTTCTACTGAATGTATTCTCGCGTTTCTGTAATATTCTAAAACAAGCAAAGAAGTAAGCACTTCAGAGAGTAGCTGTCGACATAGGAGCTCTGCTAGTGCGAGCAGACTCTGATTAGACATTCCAGTTACCAGACATTGGAGTTAACGGGGAATACTGATCTGTGTGTAACTCTGACTCGGTTGAGTCACCTTTGAATGGGGATTCACACCGACAGAGTTAGGAGAGAGCAGAGGCCACATAGTGCTAAAGCATTACTAAAATTTGCATGTACATCAAGGAGTGAGAACGGTCGCAGACTGACCAATTTTATTTTGGGGATTGTTGGCCAGGACACCGGGAGAAAACAGCATATTCTGTGAAGCACTTTGAGATGTCTAGAAAACATGATAAAGTACTATATGAAATGTTGTATTCCTTATATGCAAGGTAGCCTAGGTAGCTAGGTCTTAACAAGGAGTTGTTGTTTCTATTTGATACAGCGTCTTATCACATCTTCGAGATGCCTCAAAGCGCTTCACATAAAATACTGTAAAGTGAATTGACTATATTTTGTGGACAAAACGCAGCAGCTAATTGCACAACTAGTGTCCCACAAACAGTCGTGGATTGAGTGACCAAATTTTTTTTTAAGGGTTTATTACCCCCGGAGAAGCGATCCACCATTGACTAACAACTGAAAATAAACTTGCCCAACATTTCGCCCTGCCCAGGAATCAAATCCAGGTCCTCTCGCTTATGAGGTGAGTGCTCTAATCACTAAACTTCAGGACTCCAACATGGGAGTCTCCACCATTTTGCTATGGGATCTTTAACGTCCAATTGAATGGTGCCTCGGTTTAACATCTCATCCAAAGGATGGCGCCTCTGCCATTGCAGTGCTCCCCCCAGCACTGCACTGGAGTGTCAGCTTAGACTGTGTCAAGTCCTGATGTGTGACTTGAACCCACAACCTTCTGACTCAGATGCAAGTGTTACCGCGGTGGCAGACTGACACCAGAGGAACACTCAAGGCAGAGGGCAGTCAGTGTGTGCAAGAACTGTGAGAGTGGCTGTCTGGAGTTCCTATGCTGTGCATCTCTCGTTCTACCGCTCTCACTGCCTACCTGCTCCTCAGTCAGATGCATGAAATATTTGCAGAAGATTTCCTTGAAGTGCTGCTTGGAGACGACTTTCAGATTGGCATAGTCAATCTCAGCAAACTCCCGATTGATGACATGGAGACGAGAAGTCACGACCTCCCGCACACGGGTTAAGATGTCATCGATGGTCACATGTGGGGCCAACTTTGGCGTCCCCAATTTCTCCTCCCACGCTTCTGAGGCCTGCAGGCACACACAGTCAGTACACCACTCACTCACTAATTCATTCACTGACTCACACACACACACACCCCCTCACTTACAACCTGCCTCCCTCCCTCACTCACTCACACCCTCCCTCCATCACTCACACCCTCCCTCCCTCCATCCCTCACTCCCTTTCTCACTCTCTCCCTCAGAGAGAGTTGTGATCTTAACTTGAACAGGCATAGACAGGACCTTGGTTTAACATCTTATCCGAAAGGCATGCCAGCATCTCAATGCAGCACTCCCCTCAGCTCTGCACTGGAGCGTCAGGGTGTGCTGGGAGTTCAAGTTCCCGATGTGACATTTGAACCCACAAACCTTCTGACCCAGAGACCAGAACACTACTGGCTGGCACAAATTGACAAAATGTGACAGGATCTGGTGAACCTGTTAACCTGGACGACAACACAGGCCCTCTCACTATGGTCAGTCCTCGTTTAGTGGCGCTGGGAATTCATTCTCTTTCCCCTTCAGATTGGAAAACGTTACTCACCATTATGTGACTTGTGGGGAGGGCAAAGCCTCAGCTATTATTATTATTATTTAATAAAAAGAGATGTTTTAACTGTTAAGGTTGTTATTGCACTACTTCACTCAGCCAAACCGGTTTGTACAGCGATCTTTACGGTTTCTATTCCAGAGGACAAGTTCCCTCACACCTGCCCCCGGCATAATCAAGCTGACTGGGTGGAGCTGCAGTTGGACAATTGGTTTAGAAAAATGCTGAGTCTTCGAGTTCTGGAACCGAGTAAACATTGTGTTGACGTGATGCCTGGAGCTCAGTGACTTGGGGACAATAGTGGTCGGCGACTCAGTGGGGCAGCTAATGGAATCTTGCCTTTGGGTTCAGGGTTCACACTCCACATCGGGGCTTTTGAGCTCATAATCTTGTGCTCCAGTACATTGCTTGGGAGAAAGCTGCATTGTTGGAGGGGCCATCTTTGAATGCAACGTTAAACTGAGGTTCTGTCAGTGCCTGTTCAGGTAGACGTTAAAGATCCTGTTTGAAAAGAGAAGGGAGTTTCTTTTTCCAGGTGTTCTGGCTGACAATCCCCCAGATAACATTGTTCACTCACTCCTTGGCTGTTTGTGGGACTTTACTGTGTGTAAATTGGCTGCCAACAAATATACTGTCATTGCACTTAATACTAAATCCAACATTACAGACATTGAGTCAAATTACAAGTGTTATTGCCTAAAAGAACGCAGACACTACACTCTGCAGTGTATCCTGTGAAACACTGAGACATTCTCCTGATAAAAAAGCATTGTAACAAATGCCATGAATATTACTGTTATCCTGGAGATGGACGGCATGACTAACCTTGTAACTATAAATGTTAAAGTTCCGCAGGAAGTCGAGCCAATCCACAGTGCAATACGGGTGCAGTTTTAGGGTAGAAATTAGGTGGCTGAACTGCTTGTCTGTCAGCCTGAAGCAGAAATTGTTTAACACCTGACGGAAAATCAAGGGCTTCATTCTTCCTGTTCCTTCCTTGTCAAAGGTTCGAAATGCCTGTGCGATCAATTTCAGGAGGTCTAAGAGCACTGTTCATCTCCCTCTACCCCCAACAGTCCCCCCTCTGCCCCCCATCATAGTCACTCCACTTAGTCATTAGACATCTGACAAACTCAGGTCTGAGCCCTCGCTCAGCTGGCCAGGCTGAATGTGTGTGTTACTGTAACAGACTGGGTGGGCTGAGTGTGTGTTACAAGAGTAGACTGCAAGAGTTTTTACAAATATATAAAGAGGAAGAGGCTGTCAAAGGTAAATGTGGGTCCGTTAGAGGCAGAGTCGGGGGGAGTTATAGTAGGGAACAAAGACATGGCAGAGTCATTAAACAAGTACTTTGTTACTATCTTCACCTTAGAAGACACTGAAAACCTACCAAGAATAGAGGGGAACCAAGAAGACAATGTTAGTGAGCAACTTGGGGAAATTAATATTAGTAAAGAAATGGTTTTAGATAAATTGTCAGGTCTTAAAACTGATAAATCCCCTGGACCTGATGGCCTACATCCTAGGGTTTTAATAGAGGTGGCTACTGAGATAGTGGATGGCTTGTCTTTGATCTTCCAAAATTCTCTGGTTTCTGTAACGGTTCCCATTGATTGTAAGATTGCAAACTATTTAAGAAGGGTGGGAGAGAAAAGATGGGGAACTATAGACCATTTAGTCTGACATCAGTGGTAGGGAAAATTCTTGCGTCCTTAATTAAAGATGTCGTTATGGGATTCGTGGAAGACCATAACAAGATTAGGCAGAGTCAACATGGCTTTACAAAAGGGAAGTCATGCTTAACTAATCTTTTAGAGTTTTTTGAAGATGTATCCAGCAGGTTAGATAGGGGGGAACCAGTAGATGTAGTATATTTAGATTTTAAAAAGGCATTTGACAAAGTGCCACACAAAAGCCTATTACACAAGGTTAAGGCCCACGGGATTAATCGGAACATATTAGCATGGATTGAAGAGTGGCTAACGGGTAGAAAACAGAGAGTAGAGATAAACGGGTCATTCTCGAATTGGCAGGATGTGACTAGTGGAGTGCCACAAGGGTCAGTGCTTGGGCCTCAGCTATTTACAATTTACATCAATGATCTAGACGAGGACATTGAATGTAACATATCTAAATTCGCGGATGACACTAAACTAGGTGGGAGAGTAAGCTCTGGGGATGATGCAAAAAGATTGCAACGGGACATAGATAGGCTCGGGGAGTGGGCGAGTAGGTGGCAGATGGAATTTAATGTGGGGAAGTGTGAAGTTGTTCACCAAGGTAGCAAAAATAGAAAAACAGATTATTTTCTAGAGGGGGAGAGATTAGATAGTGTTAGTGTTCAGAGGGATTTGGGTGTCCTTGTACACCAGTCTCAAGAAGTTAGTTTGCAGGTGCAGCAAGCAACTAAGAAGGCGAACGGCATGTTAGCGTTCATTGCAAAAGGTTTAGAGTAGAAGAATAGGGAAGTCTTGCTGCAACTGTATAGAGCCTTGGTGAGACCTAGAGTATTGTGTGCAGTTTTGGTCTCTTTATTTAATAAAGGACATACTTGCACGAGAGGGGGTGCAGAGTAGATTCACGAGGTTAGTTCCTGGGAGGAGGGGATAGACCTATGAGGATAGGCTGAATAAACTAGGGCTGTATTCTCCAGAGTACAGAAGAATTAGGTGACATCTTATTGAAACATATAAGATTCTTAAAGGGCTGGATAAAGTAGACACTGAGGGACTGTTTCCCCTGGTAGGAGAATCTATAACCAGGGGTCACAGTCTTAAAATTAAGGGTCAGCCTTTTAGAACAGAGTTGAGGAAACATTTCTTCTCTCAGAGGGTAGTGAATTGTGAAGCTGTAGATGCTCAGTCCTTGAACATTTTCAAGGCTGAGACTGATAGATTTTAAAAAAAATAGAGGGATTAGGGGATATGGGGATAGGGCAGGTAATTAGAGTTAGGTCAGAAGATCGGCCATGATCTTATCGAATAGCGGGGCAGGCTCGAGGGGCCGAATGGCCTACTCCTGCTACTGATGCTTATGTTACTGTAACAGACTGGCTGGGCTGAGTGCATGTGTTACTGTAACAGCCTGTCCTGGCTGAGTGACCCTGTGTATAATTTGAAGTCTCATTCACTCACCTCATACCACGAATCGTAGGAGGCCGTCACAACCTCCTTGAGTTTTGTCATCACTTTTTCCGGGGGCAGCGACTGCAGGTTTTCGGGAATCATGGCTGGATACTGGCTGATGGCCGTGCTGTCATCAATGGCTCTCAGGAAAGCACAGGCCGAGATTCTGTTATTGTGTATGGTGATTCCAAACCTGGGGCCACACAGACAGGCAGAGATTATAATAATAATTCTTGCATTTGATATAGCTGTTTATCATGTCATTTAGGAATCTCACCAAAGCGATTCACAGGATATACTGTAAAGTGGAGTGATTGTATTTTGTGGGCGAAACGCGGCAGCCAGTTGTGCACAGCAATGTCCCACAAACAGCCATGGAGTAAGTTATCAATTTTATTTGGGGGATTGTTGGCCAGGACAACGGGAGAGAAAAACTCCCTTTGCTTTTTGAATAACAGCCAGTTAATAAAAAATAAATAAGGAAAAATAAAAAAATATATATTTTTTTAAATCCAGCAACAACAACAGCAACAATGTCCTGGCCCCTGGCACTGTCATCCCGGCCATGACCTGGGAGGCTAAGCCTGAGGGCTGATGCCATCCCACTGATCGCTCGCTCCCAGTCTCTGAGTGCGCATTTTGGCTGCCGCCCCGACCCGAGCCTCCCCCTAAATGTCTCTCCTCCCACCTCCCTTCAAAATGTCCGTTCCCTCTCAAACAAAGCCCTCACCATCCACGACCTCATCCTGGACGAGCACCTTGACATAACTTGGGCTCACTGAAACCTGGCTCTCCCCCAATGACCCCGTACCCCTAGTGGAAACCTCCCCTCCAGGCTACACCTTCCACCACACCCACCCCCCCCCCCCGTCCAAACCAACGTGGCGGCGGGGTGTCCCTCATCTCCAAAGCTTCCCTTGGCCTCATCCCCTACTCCTCTGGCTGCTTCCCCTCTTTCGAGCACCTCACCCTATTCCACTCCTCTCTCCCTTTGAAAATCCTCCTTGTTTACCATCCCCCTGAACTCTCCAGCTCCTTCCACACAGACATCTCCACTCTCCTCTCTTCCATGTCCCTCTGCTCCGAGCGCCTACTCATAATGGGCAATTTCAACCTCCACCTAAACACCACCTGCACCACTTCTGCTGATTTCACTGCCCTCCTCTCCTCCCTTAACCTTACATATAAACTCACCCACCCACAACCGTGGTAATGCACTTGACCTCATCATCACCCACGGCCTTGACATTTCCGACCTCAGCATAGTGGACAAGGCCATCTCGGACCACTTCCTCATCTCTTTCTCCTCTCAGTTCCCTCTCTCCTCCACCAAGCTCTCAACCATCCTCTACCGCTCTAGGAAAAGGCTGCCCCATGAGACCCTCACAAAGGCCCTCTCACCATGACATCCTATCCGTCTGGCCTTCCACCCGCGGAGATCCTAAAACAGCCATCCAACTGCTCCATGATCACCTCTCCTCCACTTTCAACTCCCTCGTCCCCCTAAAATCTAGGACCATCTCCAAACCCACCCGATCCCCCTGGTACAACAACCATCTCCGCCGCCAAAACAGCCAAACCCATCTGCTCAAGCTCAGATGGCGGAAAATTGGCCTGACAGTTCACCGCCAACTGTGGCTCGAGCATCTCCACAGCCAAGCCATTCTTTGACACGCGCAAAAACAGCCTTTTACTCCAACATCATCTTGGAGGCCAAAAACAATCCCCAAATCCTTTTTTCCACCACCTACTACCTCCTTCGTGCCCCCCCCTCAGGGCTCCTCAATCTTCACATCAAATGCCAAGTGCGAGGAGGTCATGGACTTCTTTTCTGCTAAAATACTCAACATCCGCCAGGCAGCCTCATCCACCTACCCCTTGTCACCCACCACCACACCCTCTCTACCCCCCTTACCTTCCTCATCATCTGCTCCTACGACCACCCCTTTCTACACTCTTTCCTCCCCATCTCTCCCTCCTCCCTCTCACCCACCATCACCTCCATGAAACCCACCACCTGCTGCCTCGACCCCCTCTCCACCAACTTACTGGTCACACAGCTCCCCCGACTATGCCCACTACTGGCTGACATCATCAACCAGTTCCTCTCCTCCGGATCAGTCCCTGCCTCCCTCAAAGCTGCTGTCATCACCCCCCCTCCTCAAAAAACCCTCCCTAGATCCCTCAAACCACAGCCATTACCGGCCTATTTCTAACCTGCCCTTCCTCGCAAAAGTTCTAGAACGCGTTGTTCCCAATCAACTTTGCACACGTCTCTCCCCGCACTCCCTCTTCGAACCCCTCCAGTCGGTTTCCGCTCTGCCCACAGTACAGAGACTGCGCTTGTGAAAGTCACAAACGACATCCTCTCTATCTGTGACCAGGGCTCCCTCTGCCTCCTTGTCCTCCTGGACCTCTCCACCGCGTTTGACACAGTTGATCACGCCATCCTCCTCCACCGCCTTTCCTCCGTCATCCACCTCAGTGGAACCGCACTCGCTTGGTTCGAGTCCTACCTCACAATCCGCCAGCAGTACATCTGCATAAATGGCTTCTCCTCCCGCTCTCACCCAGTCACCTGCGGGGTACCCCAAGGATCCATCCTTGACCCCCTCCTCTTTCTGATCTATATGCTCCCTCTTGGGGATGTCATCCGCAGACATGGGGTACATTTCCACACGTATGCAGATGACACCCAACTCTACTTTTCCACCTCACTTTGCGACCCCCAGTCCCCTGATGTTCTGTCAGCCTGCCTTGTCAGACTGGATGAGTGCAAACTTCTTTCAGCTGAACGTTGACGAGACGGAAGCCATACTCTTCGGCTCTAGTCAACGTCTAAAATCTCATGGTTCTCACCTCCTCCACCTACCCGACCCCCCCCAAAACTCTCCGAACCCGTACGCAATCTAGGCGTCAGGTTCGACCCCCAATTATGCTTCCTCCCCCACATCCGGTCCCTTGCCAGCACCTCCTTTTTCCACCTCCGTCGCATCGCCCGTCTCCGCCAATACCTCTCCCTAAAAGCCGCTGAACCTCTGGTCCATGTCTTTGTCACCTCTCGGCTGGACTACTCCAACGCCCTCCTCGCCAGTGTCCCATCCACTACCATCCATAAAATCCAAATCGTTCAGAACTCTGCCGCCCGCATTCTCACCCGCACTAAACTCCGCTCCCCGATCACCCCAGTCCTTGCCAGATTGCACTGGCTGCCTATCCCAGAGAGGATCGACTTCAAGATCCTCACCCTCATATTCAAGTCCCTGCACTCCTCTGCACCCCCTACCTCTCTGACCTCTCTCCTCAAAACAGCACCCATTGCCTTCGTTCCTCCGGGTCTGGCCTCCTCCTTGTCCCCCAAGTCCTCCGTTCCACCCTCGGCGGCCGTGCCTTCAGCCACTATGCCCTGAGGCTCTGGAACTGCCTTCCTCACTCCCTTCGTCTCGCTCCCTCCCTTCCCATTTTCAGGTCTCTGCTAAAGACCTTTCTTTTCGATCGCGCCTTTGGTCACCTTCCCCCCCCCTTCCGCTCGGTCCCGGGATCTGAAACTGTAAAGCGTTCTGAGACGCCGTCCGGCGTAGAGGGCGCTATATAAATCCAAGTTGTTGCTGTTGTTGTTGTAATGTGATGGGATCTTTAACATTCACCTGAACAAGCAGATGGGACCTCGGTTTAAGGTCTCATCTGAAGGACCGCACCTCTGAAAACGCAACACATTGCATTGGAGTGTCATCTTAAAATACGAGATTTCAAGTCCCAACGTGGGGCTTGAACCTTGAACACAACCTTCTGACTCAGAGGCGGGAGTGTTACCACTGTGCCAGGCTGACACATATTTTCTATGGGTCTATGGTGCTGCTGTTCATTGCTTACAGAAAGTCAAACATGGATGGGATGTTAAACAAACCATTACCTCCAGAAAGCGATCCGCCTATTGATTAACAATTGGGTTCCTACTTACTGCTAGGTAAACAGAGGCACTTGGAGTAAGGAAACTTGCCTGAGGCTTCGCCCCGCCTGGGAATCAAACCCAGGTCTTCTTGCTTGTCAGGCGAATGCCCTAACCACTACGCTGCAGGACTTCTTGCCGAAAGATAGAGGAGCTGTGCTGAGACCAACCCAAAATGTGCTCTCAAACTCCAGGGTGTTTCACCTGGGTGGAAGGTGTAGTCACAGCCTGGGGAGGGATCTAACACTGGAGCAGAGGTGTGTGAAGGAGTTCTCTCTTTTTTTTGGTCAGCCGGGTGTCTGCCACAGAAACCCATCCCCATGCTTAAAAGTATCCAAACCAACCTGAGAATTCCATGCTCCCACCTACACATGGTATTTGCAGAGATAGATTATTGGAATGGAATGCGCAAGATTCGAGAGTCACCGGCAGTTGCCTGGAGTGCTGCGGACCCACATGGATAGATATTTGTTACGTCAGGGATTCGGGATACGTTAAGAGATACGGGACAAGAGTGAGTAATTGGACTTGAGGTGCAGATCAGCCATAATCTTATAGACTGACGGAACAGGCTTGAGGGGTGGAATGGCCTTCTCCTGTTTCTGTGTTTCTATGGCTCAGGAGCTATGACTGCCAACACCGTCACAGAAGGTTGGCTTAATTCTGACATTCTGTTGCCAAACATGTCACCTTGGAGCCAGTTCAGCTACAAAACAACAACAAATTATATTTGTCTTGTACCTTTCACATCAGGGAGGCACCTCAATCCTGCTTACCTCCCCACAAGGAGAGTAATGCCCCCAAGGGATGGGCTCACACACTGGGTGGGGGCTCAGCAATACAAGTGAAGACCATTCAGGCCATCTGATCTCAGAACACCAGTCCAACCGTTTGTTAAACGAGTCCAGTGTCCTGGCTTCATCCCTTCCAGGTATTAGTGCTCCGCTGAAGACAAACTTCCACAGGCTGAAATTCTACCTAGCCCTAGCCTGTGGGACCATTTTGTATTACAATTTAAGATCACCCAACTTCGTGGAAAATTCTTAAAACCAGTCTTAATTTGAAAGTTCATTTTCTAAAGAAACTGCTTCCAAATTCAGCAGCAGCTGAATTATCACAGCACTTTCCACGTAAGCTAACATTTCACAGCACTTCACAGAAAGTATGACAACACAGAGCTAAGGGGGTGGGGTGAGGGGGGAGATAGCCGCAGACACAATCAAAGCAGTAAGTATTCAGAGGCTTTTGAAGACAATAGAGAGAGGGAGGGAGTTCCAGGCATACATATAGTGGCTGAAGATTTGTCCACGCCACTAATCTTGAGTGGGGCGGTGGGCCGCAAAGTCAGCCTGATTTTGGTGAGCAGGAGAGTGAGCTGGAGCAGGTCACATAGGTAGGGAGAAGTGAGGGCATGTCAGAGATTTGATTTGTCAAAGAGGGTAAGGATCTCAAAGACTATTTGAGAGGTAGTATGGAGGTTGTGAAGCTAGAGCTGTGAATGAGAGGGCAGTGGGGAGGGTGCGAAACTGGAGCTGTAGACTAGAGGGTAGTTGGGGGTTGTGAGGCTGGAGCTGTGAATGAGAGAGTAGCATGGAGGGTGTGAAGATGGAGTTGTGGATGCCAGTGAGCAAGCTTGGGAGAAATCCAGTCTGGAAATGACAAGTGGCCATATAATAGTTTTGACCACACTGAGCGTGAGACAGGGATTGAATCAGGCGATGTGGAGAAGCTGAAAAGTGGCCTTGGTCAGAGACTGAGTAATGTAAGAGAGGCAAGGGTTAAACAGAAGACAAATGCTGTGCACTTTAGTGAGGTGGAGAAAGCAGCCAGGAAAAGTGAGGTAATCAAAACCAGAGGAAGGAAGTACTGGTGGGAGCTGATGAGGACGGCTTCTGTCTTGTCCATGTTTAGCTGAAGGAAGTTGAGGCTCATTTTGTTTTGGTCAGTTGGGTGTCTGACACATGCAGAAACCCATCACCATGCTTAAGAGTATCCAAACCAAGCTGTGGTTTCCATGCATTCCATGCAATGCAAGCAATCCCAGAATTCGATTTCGACATTCTGTTGTCAAGCACATCATCCTGGAGCCAGTTCAGGTCCAAGGAGACCCTGCTCATCTCCACCAGCCACCCCAAGGAGAATTTAGGCTCATTCAGGACTTGGTGTCAGACAGGCAACATGCTCACCAGTTAGCCTGAAACCAAGTGCAGAAGGAAAGAAGATTGGACGACTTGTGAAATCTACTCCAAGTTTCAGATTCCGCGACCAAGATGAGGAAAAGAACAGGACCGAGGATGCAGTCCAGAGTGAACAACCAACGTGAAGGTGAGAGGAAAAGCCATTTGAGGAAGCAAAGTGGAGGTGATGGAACAGTTGAACTAAGAAACCAAAAAAAATCATTCCGCTGCTTGTCCAGTTAGGACCACCCGACCTGTTAAGGCTTTGGCTTGCAGGGTTAAAAGGTGCTGAGAGCGAGGTGTCCCTGCCCCCCCAGTGACTGGTCTTCCCTTCCATGTCCCGTCAATGAGCTAGGGTGGCTGTGCTATCATCAGCAGTGCCCTGGAGTACCTCAAACTCGCCCGGCTCAAGACTGACAACTGGTGGGCTGTCAGTCTTGATCTAGGCAGGACCTTCACTTGTTGCAGAGAAAGTACTCGATTGCAATGTTTATTGCCAGGCACATCACCTTGGAGCCAGTTCATCCAAAGACAACAACAACAAAATTACATTTGTGTAGCACGGGATGGAGGTCCAGAGGGTGGGGGCAGAGTTGCTGAAGGCAATGGTGGGGCAGGCGAAGCGGGGGACATGAAGCAGGCCTGCTGAGCGGAGGGAGAGGGCAGGTTGGTAGGGGGTTAGGAGGTCGCAGAGGTAGGAGGGGATCAAGGCCTTGTAGGGCTTTGAAAGTGAGGACCAGGATCTTGAACTGTATCCTCTGTGTGATGGGAAGCCAGTGGAGTCGGCTGAGGATAGGGGCAATATCTGGAATGCATTGCCTGAAAGGGTGGTGGAAGCCGATGGATGTTGACTCGACTTGTTCCAGGGCTTTCGAGAGGAATGGGAGGTTGGAGATGGGGTGATAACTGGAGAATAGGGATGGGTCCAGGGAAGGTGAGGATGGGGTAATGACAGTTGTTTTTAGGGGTTTGGGAACATTGCCTTTAGTTAAGGAGAGGTTGATAATGTCGGCTAAAAGAGGGGCCAAGAGGTGGAGCTGGGAGGTGAGGCAAGGGGTGGGGATGGGGTCGAGGGAGCAGGTAGTGGGCTTCATTCTTGAAATGATGGAGGTGAGGGAAGAGGGGAGACAGGATTGAATGTGTATAGGGAGGGATGGGGGGAGGTGACGAAGGAGTAATGATGGTCGAAGGAGAGGTAGCCGAACAAATCCCTTCGATTTTGGATTCGAGGAAGTCCAACATCTCCTCGCAGTTGAAATTGGAGGAGAGGATGGGTGAGGCACGGGAAGGTGGATGGAGCTATGCAGATCACTCTGTGTAGCTCTCCCCTCCCGGCCATGTCTCCTACCTCCCTGCAGAGACTCTAATGTGACTCACCTGAAGAAGAGCTCCTTGAGCTGCTCCTCGTCCAGCTGGTAGCCATGCTCCAGCAGCACCCTGAGCAGGTCACTCACCCCTATGTAACCATCCTTGTTTTTATCCAGTTTGGCAAATGCCATGGAGAAGTCTGCATAGTGTTCCCTGAACTTCTCCCTACAGAACAAAGGACCAATGTTAGACAGGGATCGTAGGAACCTGAGGGTTGGGGAGAGAGGCTGGGCTTGGATTGGGGGGGGGGAAGAGGCCAGGCTGGGCAGGGGAAGAGGATGAGTGGAGGGGCTGGGGTTGGGGAGGGGGAGATGCCGGGGTTGAGGAAGGATGAAGTTGGGAATGGGGGAGTGGCTGGGCTGAGGAGGAGAGGCCGCGGTTGTGGGGGGGGTAGGTCGGGTTTGGGAGAGGGGAGAGGCCAGGATTGGAGGGCGAGAGGGCGGGGATGGGGGGTAGAAGTTGGTGTTGGGGGAGGGGAGAGGCCGGGTTTGGGTGGGGAGGAGAGGCCGGGGTTGGGGTGGAGAGAGGCCGGGGTTGGGGTGGAGAGAGGCCGGGGTTGGGGTGGAGAGAGGCCGGGGTTGGGGTGGTGAGAGGCCGGGGTTGGGGTGGAGAGAGGCCGGGGTTGGGGAGAGAGGAGGCCGGGGCTGGGTGTTGAATGCTCTGCCTACTTTAGCTGCCGTTCCAGTTTGCCAACATCCAGCCCGCTGCTCTGAACTTTCTGAGGCTTCTCCACGTTCTGCACTAAATTGGTCTGGTCATTGAATTCCGGTGGCTGAGAAGCAAACTCCACATCAAGTTTCTTCACGAAATCGGAATGAGAAAGAAAACCTTTACCAAATGGATCATACCTTTAGGAGGAAGAACAGGGGCCATGAGGAGATATAACTCAGCTCAGTAAGCATGGGTGTTGGCTGGCTCTTTAATGGGGAGATGAAAAGAGACAGGGTCAGGGTATCTGCAGTTTACTGAGTACTTCAAATAGTGAGAAGCTTTATCAACACATCACAACCATTGCTTGTTGGAGCGAATGATTTGTACTCTGACCAGCAACTCACACATCACCCACAACTAACAACTGAGTGTGTTTATACACAATCTGACACCTGTGAACCAGTGTTTATATACAATGTGACACCACATATATATATATTATCTTATCAGCCTGATTTCGGAGTTTATGGGTTCAAGTCCCACATCAGAGACTTTGAGCTCACAGTGTAGGCTGACTCTTCAGGGTGACAATGTGCTAAATCAAATATGGAAATCTGCCCTGTGCCCTCCCCATCTCTAGCACATACTTACTCCAATGGGGAGCCCAATACTGACACAATATTCCAACTGTATCCAAGAGTGTCCCTTACAGTTTATATTAAAAACAATAACACTACAATTTATATAGGGTCTTACATATCAAGAGAACGTCACAAAGTGCTTCACACCAGTTCAAGCCAGGCCAGAGGGGGAGGAGAGGACCTGAGCTGGAGTTCTGGATGGTCTGCAGCTCTTGTAGGGAAGAGTTGAGTTGGTATTGCCTGAAAGGGCCGTAGAAGCCGATTCAATTAGAGAAGTAGATAATTATTTGGGAAGGACATGTTTGCAGGGTCTATGGGGAGTGAGCGGGGGAGTGGGATTGATTTGGATAGCTCTTTTCAAGAGCCGGCACAGACACGATGGGCCAAATAGCCTTCTTCTATGGTGTATAATTCTATGATTCTAGTCGAGCTTGGACGTGATGAAGGCATGGATGAGGGTCTCAGCAGCCAGGGGAGAGGGGGTGGGGGGAGAGAGTGATAGTGGTGGAGTCAGGCAATGTTATGGAGGCAGAGAAAAGCTGAGTGAATGAGAGCCCGGATATCAGGCTTGAAAGACAGCCGAAGGCCAAACACGACACTAAGGCTCTTCAACCGGCTACTGTGAAGTCATGTGAGCAAAATCACAGATTAGGAGAAAAATAACTCCTGTGTCTCATCTGATAATTTACTGACAGAAAACAATAAGAGTCTTCCTACCAGGACCACAGCTTCTCGAATTGTTTTGGTGAAATGGGCAGGAAGAAGCGGTACAACACATCCCTCAGATCCTTCTTGCGGACAATGAGATTTCCCTCGCAATCATATACCTTGAAATTCTGGAAAATCCCAAAGATTAATTTCTTCAGGTCCATCGGCTGAGAGCGAGCACTGGACTTAGGTCGCACCACAACAAACAACAACTTGCGACCCTCAGGCAGGGTAGCGTTCCAGAGTGCTTGACAGTGATGGAGCACGACGCCAAGACGGAGGGAGGTGACAGTAGGTATGGTTGAAGAGGAAGGTCTTCCAGTGCAACCTGCAAATGGGGAAGGAGGCGGAAGGATAGAGGAAGAGTGTTCCAGAGTTTCGGGACGTAGTGGCTGAAGTGGCAGCCACCAATGGAGGAATGGAGGGATGAGCAGGAGGCCAGAGCTAGCTGAGCAGAGACGTGGGTAGCGGGTTGGGGAGTAAGCAGGTCGGAGAGGTAAGGAGGTACCAGAGAATTGAAGATGTGTATGAGAATCTTGAAATCGATCCATTCTGTGATATGGAGCCAGTGGGTACAGAGTTTAGTGTGGGTGAGTATGCGGCCAGTGGAGTTTTGGATTAGCTGGATTTTGCGGATAGTGGCGCTGGGGAAACAATTGAGGAGGGCATTTGAATAGTCGAAGTGGGAGGTGAGGAACAAATGGACGTGTGTTTTGGCTGCGTCTGGGATAAGGTACCGTCGGAGGCCAGCAATGTTAGAAAGTGGAGGAAAGCGGTCGTGATCAGGGACCAGATGTGGAGTAGGAAGGACAGCTGTGGGCTGAACCTGACGTCTAGGTTGTGCACTTGTTTGGTGAGTTTGAGGGATAGGCTGGAAGGTTGAGGTGGTCAGAACCGCAGGACAGAAAGATACTGATAAGAACCAAGGAGTATGGCTTCCATCTTCTTGACATTTAGCTGGATGAAGTTTGAATTCATCCTGGCATTGAGGTCTGCCAGACTGGACACAGGTATAGTGCATCACCTCAGATGCAGCTCAACCTTACAGACGGACGTATGGCCCTAACCCTTTACCTCCCCTGAGACAGAATAACACAACATTGTGAATGGCTATGCCACTAATGTGAATCACAGAGTTTTGGGGAAACAGTGTTTGGTTTTCTGTCATGCACAAATAACCAGCAAGTGCTTCAGCCCACGGTTAACCTGCAGCTGTTCCCCGTTTCTTGAGAATCTCCAAGGAGAGACAGAGAATCAAAAGTGGGCAAGTGTAACGTGGGACCAAGGCTTGAGACAACAGATCAGTGAGGTGAGATCCCATCCCTAAGCCTTCTCACTGTCTTTCACTGTGCCCTCGCAGTCCCCTACGTCTCCAACCTGCTCATACCCCACTCCTCTTGCCATCCCCGTCACTCAGCCGCCTCCGGCCTGCTGCACATCCCTTGTCCCCTCCGCTCCACCCAAGCTTTCAGCCACTATGGCCCGAGACTCTGGAGCCCTCTGCCTGAATCCCTCCGCCTTGCTTCCTCTTTAGACCACATCTGAAGATTGTCCTCTTTGATCGTGCATATAGTCACTTCCCCTTTTATCCCAGCTAAAGAGTCAAACCACTATTCAGCCATTATCAAGTAGTTTAAGACTCTAGCCCATGTGCAGGCCACTATACAAATGTTGTTTCAGGTTACCTTGATGAGGTCATGCATTCGGGTCTGTGCCTTGCTGGCCAGATAATTGTGGGCCTGCTCACAGGCGAGGAACGTACTCTGCACGTCCTGCATCAGGCTGTAAGTAAAGGAAAGAACCATTAGCCTCGGAGTCTAACCAGCAACAGGGCAAGCTTCAAACAAAAGGTAGAGCTTTTCTGAGTGCCACTGCACGCTATCAACTGACCTGTCACTGTAACCACAGTGAGACACACACTGATCTGTCACTCTAACTAAAGTGAGACATACACTGACCTGACACTGGCATTGCCTTTTCTGGGTTTGGCCTTGACGTCGAACACAGTGAGGAAGTCTGTGTATGTGAGCAAGGCATCGGGTGCCAGCCCTATCATTTCCAGAAAGCGTCGGTATTCCTTGTTGGTGAGGAGCAGCATGTAGCTGTCCAGGAAAGCCCGCAGGTCCTGCATGGTGATCAGGCCGTCGTGGTCGCTGTCAAATTTATAAAACACTGAGGGCAGGTCCTTTCAAAACAGAAACAAGTGTCAGTGCTGCATTAACAGCCTATCAGACAGTCTCTTAGCCAACTTCTCCAAGGCACCATTAGCAACTCTAGAAAGGTTCAGGTGAAGAAGATCCTTCAGCACATTGGATCTCTTCCTTCAAGAATCCCCATCCAACCGTCCTCACATCAAGCTGTGTTGTGTGCTGTTCCACTGGCTGGGGAATCCTTACCCAGGGAACACAAATGCAAGATAGTGGAGTCCTGCAGTTTAGAGGTTAGACCACTTCCAGCTACAAACACAGCCACTACACTTCACAATACAATCCTCTTAAGAGCTTTGAGGCATCCTCCCAATGTAAAACCGCTGTACCAAATACAATGTGGAGTCCTGTAGCTTAGTGGTTAGAGCACTCGCCTCGCAAGTGAGAGACCTGGGTTTGATTCCCAGCAGGGCGAAATGTTGGGCAAGTTTCCTATCTCCACATGGCTGTTTACTTAGCAGTAGTAATAGTAATCCTTGCATTTGATATAGCACTTTTCATGTCAGGAGGACATCCCAAAGCGCTTCACAGAACACACTGTAAAGTGAATTGACTGTATATTTGTGGGCGAACGCGGCAGCCAATTGCGCACAGCAATGTCCCACAAACAGCCGTAGATTAAAAATGACCAATTTATTATTGTTTTTTTTTTTTGGAGGGATTATTATTAGGCGTGTGGAGTAAGGAAACTTGCCCAAGGTTTCGCCCTCTGCCTGGAATTGAACTCAGGTCTCTCACTTGCAAAGCGAGTGCTCTAACCACTGAGCTACAGGACTCTCTGACCTCCTAACCCACCATCCTGTTCGTTCCCTCCACTCAGTGGGCTCCGGCCTGCTTCATGTCCCCCGCCTCGCTTGCCCCATTATTGGCGGGCGGGCCTTCCGCCACTCTGCCCCACCCTCTGGAACTCCATCCTGCAGTCCCTCAGTCTCACCCCCTTCCTTGCCACCTTCAAGACCCATCTCAAGACCCTCTTCTTCGATCGTGCTTCGATCTCCCTGCTTCCCCCCCTGCCCTCCACCCCAACCCCCAGCTCGGGTCCATAACTCTATCTGTCCAGTGCCTTGGGACGTCCTCCCGACATGAAAGGCGCTTTACAAATGTAATTTTGTTGTTGTTGTCTCCATTGGGTGGGGGTGGAGGGGAAGATACCTTCTATCTTCAAGGTACATTGAAGATAGAAGGTATAACGGAAGGCAGCGACAGTTTGACCTAACTGTGAGTCAAGAGCTGCCCAGGTTCAGTCAGCATCTGGACCCACCCCACTCACACGCTACTAGTCTTTCTATCCTGGGCCTGCCCAGCCCTGGGGCGAAATGCTAATCCTCTTAATACCCGCACCCAATTCCATTCCTCCTGCCTTGCCTGCCTAAACATGTGTGGCAGCTCCCAGTCTCAAACTTCCTTAATCTCACTTAACAAAGAATGAGTGTATTATGTAAGGTTTGACACACAGACAGCTCACTGACTGGCAATTTTCACATCCAACACCGTAAGTAAGAACCCGGTTGTTAGTGATTGGTGGATTGCTTTTCCGGGTGTAATAATTCCTTCTTCAAAAAAAAATTGGTCACTCAATCCACAACTGTTTGTGGGACACTGCTGTGTGCAATTGGCTGCTGCGTTTTATCCACAAAATATACAGTCAATTAACGTTAGTGTATTCTGTGAAGCGCTTTGAGACGTCTTGAAGACGTGATAATGCGCTATATCAAATGCAAGGATTACTATTATTATTTTAAGACCTTCCTATTCGACCATGCTTACAGTCACTAACCCCTCCCCCCAGCTCGGCGATCTGCTCTCCCACTTTACAAGCGCTCTGGGATGCTACCCTGCATTGTGGAGCACTAACCTCATAGCTTCCCATTGAAAACACCGCCTGGCAAGCTGCTTATCCAGCTAGGACCACCCTACCCGTCAGAGCTTTGGCTTGCAGGGTTAACAGCCGAGCAGGTCAAGCGGCTCCAAGGAGACCCCACTTACCCCCTGCCTCCCAAGGAACATAGTCACTAGTTGGTCATTTGACATCGGACCAACTCAGGTTTGAGTCCTCACTGGGTGGAGGACAGGTACCAGGAACTTCCTGAAAGCTTCCTAATGATTAACACCTATTGCTCAGCATTTATTATAAGGTCCCCTCTCTTTTCAAAGCTGAAGAGACCTATCTTAGCCCATCATTCCTCTTTCTCTAACACTGGATCAGGCTTGTTACTGTCTACTGCTTTGATTCTCCTATCTCATGATGACCAGAACTGTGTACAGGTGCAGCCTCAGGAGAACAGCTTGAGCATGACGTCTGCCAATCTGATCTCAACTGATTTAGCAATCTAGCCCTTGTATACTGTTTCAAAATAGTGAGCGATGGGTCAACTAATACTCCTTCATCTCTTTCAGCTTTTGAAATTCTGGAAGAATGAAAACAAATGGGCCAAGGTGTCTACTTAATCTAAAACTCTCTTGCAGTCACGTGCGCTGTTCCCCCCCCCCCGGCTGTAATCCTCTGCCTTTTTCCTTATTTACATTTTGTTCTTGTTGACATCAATGGACGGGTAATTCAGATTGAAACAGAGCATTCCTCTCAGGGCCTCACCAGATAGTTCTTCCTGAGCTCATTCATGACATGCTGGATGCACTCCTCCGCAGACATGTAACGCAGGTTACATGTGTTCTGGTCAGTCTGCCCCATCCTCTTCAACACCGCACCAGGATTATTTGCCCGCCGATCTGTGGAGGTCATGTGGCAAAACATTAACTAGACGAGAATTCCCCAACAATCACATGGACACAGTGTCCTCTATCGGTCATTCTCTCACCATGTCTGTCACTCTCTTTCTCCCACCATGTATCTCTCTCTCTCACCTTGTCCTCTCTCTCACAATGTCATTTCTCTCTCTCCCCATGCCCTTTCTCTCCATGTCCTCCTGCTATGTCCTCTCTCTCTCTCTCTCTCACCTTGTCCTCTCTCTCTCCATACCTCCACCACCTCACACTCTGTGTCTCCCCCCACCCCCCACCCCACCCTCTCTCACTGTGATCTATTTCTCTCATTGTATCCTCCCACACAGACTCAGACACACTCTCTGGCCTCTCATAGACTGTATCCACCTTCAAAGAGTCCAGAAAACTCGCAGAAATTCATGTCTCCATTCTTAAAGCCCAGTCGATCAGCCAGAATAGTGAACTGCTCATCTGTCATAATGATTCCACAGCCTTTCAACAGCTGAGGATAAGGGAGAATAAAATCATAATAATAATCCTTACAACAACAACAATAAAATTACATTTACAGAGTGCCTTTCACGTCGGGAGGACGTCCCAAAGGGCTGAACGGGGCCTGAGCATGGGCTAGGGGTGGTGTAGAGGTGAGGGAAGGCAAAGAGGTGGGAGGGAGACCAAAGGCACGGTCGAAAAGAAGGGTCTTGAGACCGGCCTTGATGGAAGCGAGGCGAAGGGACCGTGGAATGGAGTTCCAGCGTGTGGGGGCAGAGAGGCTGAAAGCATCTGAGACAGCGCCTTTCACATCAGAAGACTGTCCCAAAGCCCTTCACAGGATTTATCATTAAGGGTTCAGTTTATTTTTATTAATGCCTCATTTCATTTCAGGTGGGTAACTGTAGAGTCCTGTAGCATATTGGTTAGAGCGCTTGCCTCACGAGAGGACCTGGGGTCAATTTACGGGTGGGATGAAACCTTAAGCAAATTTCTTTACTCCACAAGCCTCTCTTTACCAAGCAGTAAGTAGGAACCCAGTTGTTTGTCAATTGGCAGATTTTCCGGGGTAATATATCCCTCCAAAAAAAATAATAATTTCACACTCATTCCACGACTGTTAGTGGGACACTTCTGTGCGCAATTAGTTGCCAAGTTTTGCCTACAAAATATACAGTCAATTCACTTTACAGTATAACAAGATGATAAGGCAATATATCAAATGCAAGGATTATTATTATTATTTACCGTAAAGTGACTGTGTGTATTGGAGGAGAACACGGCAGTCCAATTGCACACAGCGGTGTCCGACAAACAGCCATGAAGCAAATGACCAATTTATCTGGGGGAATGGCGTCCAGGACACCAGGAGAGAGAAACATTTTTTCAATAGCACCAAAGGATTTTTAACATCCACCTGAACAGGCAGACAGGAGCTCAGATTAATGTCTCATCTGAAAGATGGCACCTCTGATAACGCAGCGCTCCCCCAGCACCACATTGGATCATCAACTTGGGCTACATGAGTTCAAGTGCAGGCATGGGGCTCGAACCCACAACCTTCTGCCAGAGGTGAGAGTGCAAGGTTACCAAGGGAGGTCAGCCTTTCCCACCTTCCTGAAGCGCTCCCGGTTGATCTTGCTGTTGCACTGTTTCTGGTTGCTGAGGAAGCTTTTCCTGATGATAACATCATTGTTTGTGATGCGGCTCCACAGCTCAGTAATCGCTTCGTTCACACTCATGGTTTTACTGGGTCTGAACTCCTTATTGGCAAGCTGAGGGGGCCTGCAACACACAGCATCATCAGGGGAGATCATAGCACACACACCAACACCAGAGAGGAAATCATATCACGCACACCAACATCAGGGGGTTCATATCACACACACCAATCTCAGTGGAATCCTACCACAACCATCAACATTAGCAAAATCGTATCAGGGAAATCATACCACATACATCAACATCAGGGGAAATCATATCAGACACACCAACATCAGGGAAACCCTATCACACACAGCAACATCAGGGAAACCATATCACTCATGCCATTATCTGGGGGAAATAATATGACATCAACATCAAGGAAACTATATTACATACACAGACATCAGGGGAAATCACATGATACATATTAACATCGGGCAAACCATATCACACACATCAACATCAGGAGGAAACCATATCACACTCACCAACAGTATGGGAAACCACATCACACAAGCCAACATCAGGGGGAATTCATATGACACACATCAATATCAAGGAAACCATACCACATACACAGATATCAGGGGAATCATATGATACACATTAACATTGGGCAAACCATATCATGCACACCAACACCAGGGAAAATCATATCGCACACCAACATCAGGGGAACCATATCACAACAACAACAAGATTCCATTTATAAAGTGCCTTTCACGTCGGGAGGATGTCCCAAGGCGCTGTACAGTTGGGTCATGACCCGAGCAGGGGGGAAATGGTCAGGGTGAGGGGAGGGAAAGGAGGGAGCGAGGAGGGGGGAAATGGTCAGGGTGAGGGGAGGGAAGGGAGGGAGCGAGGAGGGGGGAAATGGTCAGGGTGAGGGGAGGGAAGGGAGGGAGCGAGGAGGGGGAAGAGAGTCGAGAGGGGAGCTGAAGGCTCGGTCAAAGAGAAAGGTCTTGAGACCGGCCTTGAAGGAGGAAAGGGAGGAAGCAAGGCGAAGGCACTGGGGGATAGAGTTCCAGAGCCTCGGGGCTGAGAGGCTGAAGGCCCGGCCACCGATGGTAGGGCAGTTGGGGCGGGGGACGTGGAGCAGACCGGAGCCGGAGGAACGGAGGGTACGGGCAGGTAGGTAGGGGGATATTAGGTTGGAGAGGTAGGAGGGAGCGAGGCCGTGAATGGCCTTGTAGGTGAGGATGAGGATCTTGAAATCAATCCTCTGGGGGATGGGGAGCCAGTGGAGGCGAGCGAGGGTGGGAGTGATGTGGTCCCGAAGCCTGGTGCGGGACAGTACACGAGCTGCAGAGTTCTGAATGACCTGCAGTGTGGAGGGAGGTGGCGGGAAGGCCGGCGAGGAGAGAGTTCCCATAGTCCAGCCTTGAGGTGACAAAGGCGTGAACCAGGGTTTCAGCGGCGTGAGGAGTGAGGTAGTGCCGTAGTCTGGCGACATTCCGGAGGTGATGGAAGGCGGTGCCAGTTGTGGTGCGGATGTGAGGGAGAAAGGACAGCTCAGGGTCGAACAAAACGCCGAGGTTCCTGACTGGCTTTGAGAGGTGGAGAGTGCAGCCTTGGATGCTGATGGTGTCGGCGCCTGAGGTGCGGAGGCGCTGACGTGAGCCAATGAGGAGGGCCTCAGTTTTGCGCACGTTGAGCTGAAGAAAGTTGTCTCTCGTCCAGGACTCGATGTCGGACAGGCAGCTGTCAGGACATCGGTGGTCGTGGAGTTGAGAATAGAGGAGGAAAGGTAGAGTTGGGTGTCATCCGCATACATCTGGAATTTAACTCCATGTCTGCGGATGATGTCACCGAGGGGGAGCATATAGAGGGTGAAGAGGAGGGGCCGAGGACAGAGCCCTGATGGACACCACATGAGACAGTACGGGGGGTGGAGGAGAAGCCATTCGTCGAGACAAAGTGAAGACGGTGAGAAAGGTACGACCTAAACCACTCAAGGACAGTGCCTTGAAGGTTGAGGTGGGAGGACAAGCGGTGGAGTAGGATAGCGTGGTCGACCGTATCGAATGCTGCCGATAGGTCGAGGAGGACGAGGAGGCAGAGGGAACCCTGGTCACAGATGGACGAGGAGGCAGAGGGAGCCCTGGTCACAGATGGAAACATCACACACATCACACACATCAACTTCAGCAAAATCATACTATGCACACCAATATAAGGGGAAAACATCACACGCAACAACATCAGGGGAAATCATATCACACACACCAACATCAGGGAAACCATATTGCACACACCAACATCAGGGGAAATGAGATCACACACACACCATCAGGGTAACCCTATCACACACACCATCTTTAGGGAAACCATATCAAACACACCAACATCATCGAGGAAATCATATCAGCCACAACACCATCAAGGGAATCATATCAGACACAACAACATCAGGGGGAATCATATCACGCACACCAACATCAGGAAAACCATATCATGTCCACCAACATCAGGGAAACCATATCACACATACCAACATCAGGGAAACCATATCATGAACACCAACATCAGGGAAACCATACAACATACACCAACAGAATAATCCCTCAAGACAGCAAAAGATAATAAATTGGTTGCTTCAACTTACGACTTTTGTGGGACACTGCTGTGCACAATTGGCTGCTGCATTTTGCCTACAAATATACAGTCAATTCACTTTACAGTCTATTCAGTGAAGCGCTTTGAGACATCTAGGATACGTGAAAATCGCTATTTCAAATACAAGGATTATTATTATTATTAACATCAGGGGAAATCATATCACACACACCAACATCAGGGAAATCATATCGCACACACCAACATCAGGAAAACCATATCACACACATCAGTATCTGGGGAAAATCATATCACACACATCAGTATCTGGGGAAAATCATATCACACACATCAGTATCTGGGGAAAATCATATCACACACATCAACATCAAGGAAATCATATCACAAACATCAACATCAGAGAAAATCACATGACACACATTAACATCAGGCAAAGCATATCATGCACACCAACATCCGCGAAACCATAGCACACACACCATCTTTAGGGAAACCATATGAAACACACCAACATCAGCGAGGAAATCATATCAGACATAACACCATCAGGGAAATCATATCAGACATAACACCATCAGGGAAATCATATCAGACACAACAACATCAGGGGGAATCACATCACGCACACCAACATCAGGGAAACCATATCACGTACACCAACATCAGGAAAACCATATCACGCCCACCAGCATCAGGGAAACCATATCACGTACACCAACATCAGGGAAACAATACCACGCACACCAACATAATAATCCCTCAAGAAAAAAAAATAACAATAAATTGGTCATTTCAATCCACAACTGTTTGTGGGACACTGCTGTGCGCAATTGGCTGCTGCATTTTGCCCACAAATATACAGCCAATTCACTTTACAATCTATTCTGTGAAGCGCTTTGAGATGTCTAGAAGACATGAACTATATCACACCCATCAACATCAGCGAAATAATAGCACACATACCAATATCAGGGGAAATCATACCACACACATCAACATCAGGGAAATCATATCAAACAGACAAATATCAGGAAAATCATATCACACACACCCACATCAGGGAGGTTCATATCATACACACCCATATGAGGGGGTTCATATCACGCACATCAACATCAGGGAAACCATATCAAGCTCACCAACATCAGGGGATACCATATTATGCACACCAACATAATAATCCCTCCAGAAAAAAAACAATAATAAATTGGTCACTTCAATTCACGACTGTTTGTGGGACACTGCTGTGCACAATTGGCTGCCGCATTTCACCCACAAATATACAGTCACTTTACTTTACAGTCTATTCTGTGAAGCACTTTGAGACGTCTAGAAGACATGAAAAGCGCTATATCAAACTCAAGCATTATTATTAATAACAGCAGGGGAAATCATACCACTCATGCCAACACCAGGGGAAATCATATCATACACACACCAACATCAGGGGTACCATATCACACACACCAACATCAGAGGGCTCATTTCACGGGAAATGCAGATTATTGCAGATTGCAGGGGGAGGTGTGCAAATGATATCACGGGGGGAGGTGTGCAAATGATATCACGGGGGGAGGTGTGCAAATGATATCACGGGGGGAGGTGTGCAAATGATATCACGGGGGGAGGTGTGCAAATGATATCACGGGGGGAGGTGTGCAAATGATATCACGGGGGAGGTGTGCAAATGATATCACGGGGGGAGGTGTGCAAATGATATCACGGGGGGAGGTGTGCAAATGATATCACGGGGGGAGGTGTGCAAATGATATCACGGGGGAGGTGTGCAAATGATATCACGGGGGGAGGTGTGCAAATGATATCACGGGGGGAGGTGTGCAAATGATATCACGGGGGAGGTGTGCAAATGATATCACGGGGGGAGGTGTGCAAATGATATCACGGGGGGAGGTGTGCAAATGATATCACGGGGGGAGGTGTGCAAATGATATCACGGGGGGAGGTGTGCAAATGATATCACGGGGGGAGGTGTGCAAATGATATCACGGGGGGAGGTGTGCAAATGATATCACGGGGGGAGGTGTGCAAATGATATCACGGGGGGAGGTGTGCAAATGATATCACGGGGGGAGGTGTGCAAATGATATCACGGGGGGGAGGTGTGCAAATGATATCACGGGGGGAGGTGTGCAAATGATATCACGGGGGGAGGTGTGCAAATGATATCACGGGGGGAGGTGTGCAAATGATATCACGGGGGGGAGGTGTGCAAATGATATCACGGGGGGAGGTGTGCAAATGATATCACGGGGGGAGGTGTGTAAATGATATCACGGGGGGAGGTGTGTAAATGATATCACGGGGGGAGTGTGTAAATGATATCACGGGGGAGTGTGTAAATGATATCACGGGGGGAGTGTGTAAATGATATCACGGGGGGAGTGTGTAAATGATATCACGGGGGGAGTGTGTAAATGATATCACGGGGGGAGTGTGTAAATGATATCACGGGGGGAGTGTGTAAATGATATCACGGGGGGAGTGTGTAAATGATATCACGGGGGGAGTGTGTAAATGATATCACGGGGGGAGTGTGTAAATGATATCACGGGGGGAGTGTGTAAATGATATCACGGGGGGAGTGTGTAAATGATATCACGGGGGAGTGTGTAAATGATATCACGGGGGAGTGTGTAAATGATATCACGGGGGGAGTGTGTAAATGATATCACGGGGGGAGTGTGTAAATGATATCATGGGGACGCGTGTGTAAATGATATCACGGGGGATGTATATAAATGATATCACGGGGGAGTGTGTAAATGATATCACGGAATGGGTGTGTGTAAATGATATCATGGGGGAGGAGTGGGGAGGAGGTAAACAATATCACGGGGTGGGGGGGGAGTGTTTAAATGATCACAGAAAGGTGGGGGTGTAAATGATATCATGGGGGGGTGTGAATGATGTTGTGGAGGGGGGGGGAGCGTGTAAATAATATCATGGAGGGGTGTCATGTTATTCACAGAGAAAGGGAGTCTAAATGATGTAAAAGTTGTGAATTTTGCATAAGTTTAAAACAGTGATACAAAGAGCACATCACAATGCCCAGTCACTGGGGGTGAGTGCACATGTGTTCTTACCCGGGAGCTTGTCTGGAGGCCCCCCGTGATGGCCCATGCTCGGCTTCTGGAGATGGAGGGGAGGGTTCACTAACGGACACCTTCACCCCCAGCTTGTCCAAAAAGACTTTGTACGGAATCTGGGTCTCTGATATCTGAAACTGCTGACACAATCTGATAGGAGAGATCAGTGGGAGAAAAATAACCATCCCTGCAATTAGTACAGCACTCTACATCTCAAACGCTACACAGGCAATTGCTCTGAAGTGTAGTGACTGTGTGTTCTGTAGGCGAACGTGGGAGACAAGTTGCACACAACATCCCCAAAACAGCCATGAAATGAGTGACTAATTTTATTTTGGGGGATCCTTGCCCACACACTGGGAGAGAGAAACTCCTTTCTCTTTTCCAAATAACTCCAAGAAATCTTTAACGTCCATAAACAGGACCTCTGTTGACGTCTCATCTGAAGGATGGCACTTTTGACAATGCTCCCCTAGCACTGCACTGTAGCGTCAGCCTAGCCCGTGAGCTCAAAGACCCTGAGATGGGGCTTGAACCAATGACCTTCTGACTCAGAGGCAAGAGTGTGACGACTGAGTCGGGCTGACACCTAAAGTACCATTAGTAAGGTGGTGAGACCAGGTTTTATGAAACTGGGTGGAAATTACTTGAGTTTATGAAACTTGCTGCCTTGAAGTGGTTCAAATCCCTGACTGTCCAGCGGCTTGGGACGTTCTCCCAACGTGAAAGGTACTATACAAGTGCAATTTTGTATTGTATTCTTGAATCAAATAGTGTTGATGCATTCAAGAAGAAGCAAGATCTTTATATCAGGGAGAGGGAACAGAAAGGTGTGGGAGGGAATAAAGAGTAGGTGAATATTCATGTGAAGTATAAACACACTGATTGAGCCGAGGGGTCTGTTTCCATGCTGTGCAGTCTATGTAAAGCGAAAAAAAAATATTCTGGGATGAATGAATTCCAGGTTCTATACCCCCTGCGCTCGAGTGTTTGGGACCAGTCAGGGTTGTCGTAAAGTGTTTTTGGGGGGGCAGAGGGTGACTTGGACATTTCCTGCAGCAGTGACTGCGGGGGGAGGAAGGGTCGGAGAAGGGGACCGAACATCCCAGCTGGACAGCGCTGCATTTCATGGTTACTTCCATTTGCAGAGAAATGGGGGAATCCACACCTGCTTAAGATAAGTCACCAGTACAGCCCAAATGTGGGAGCTTCCTGGATGGCTTGGGACAGTCCCGCTTCACACATTATACCTATCCACCAGAGCACTAGGGGAGAGCTGACATGACAGGTTGAGACCCCCTTACTTGCATACTCAGCACCACATGTCTAGTCATGTTAGGGATCAGTCTCAGTTACCTACTTCTGAAGGTGCTGGTCAGAGATGGGGAGGCAGTGAGTGTGCAGGACACCTCGCAGGTTCTCAAAGCTCATCAGACCCGTGGCTTTGGAATCAACATCACGTAGTGCCTGGTGCACGGCTTTCCAGTTTCCTGTGATTTTGTCCCTCAGCATTTCCTCCACCTGGTCAGGATGGGAAGAGGAACAGAGTGAAGAGAAGGAGAGGATGAGGCAAAGGGAGAGGCAGAGAGACAGGAGGGAGAGGCAGAGAGACAGGAGAGGGAGAGAGACAGAGACAGAGGAGGGAGAGAAACAGGGGAGGGAGAAGGGGGAGGGGAGGGAGAGAGACAGCAGCGAGAGAGGGAGAGAGACAGGGGTGCGAGGCAGCGAGACCGGGGAGGGAGGGAGGCAGCGAGACCGGGGAGGGAGGGAGGCAGCGAGACCGGGGAGGGAGGGAGGCAGCGAGACCGGGGAGGGAGGGAGGCAGCGAGACCGGGGAGGGAGGGAGGCAGCGAGACCGGGGAGGGAGGGAGGCAGCGAGACCGGGGAGGGAGGGAGGCAGCGAGACCGGGGAGGGAGAGGCAGCGAGAAGGGAGGGAGAGGCAGCGAGAAGGGAGGGAGAGGGACGGGAAAGAGACAGGAAAGAGAAAGGGGAGGGAGAGGCATAGAGACAAGGGAGTGAGCAGAGGGATAGGGGAGGGCGAGACAGACAGGGGAGGGCGAGAAGCAGGGGCCGGGGAGGGCGAGAGACAGAAGGGAGAAAGAGACAGGCAAGGGACAGAGAGACAAGGGAGAGGCCGAGGGAGACAGGTTAGGGAGAGGAAAAGAGTGAGGTAGAAGGAGAAGAGGAGATAGAGAGACAAGAGAGGATGAGCGAGAGGGTAAGGGAGAGGCAGATTGAGGGAGAGGTGAGATATAGGGGAGGAAGAGGGTAAGGGAGCATGTGATAGTAAGTGTGAGGGAGAGGGGAGTTAGCGGGTGATGGTCAGGGTGAGGTAGAGGGTGATGGTAAGGGCGCAGGGAGGGAAAGGGTCAGGGAGGAGAGGTGAGGGTAAGGGAGGAAAGAGTAAGGGAAAGGGGAGTGAGAGGGTAAGGGAGAGGCAGATAGACAGGAGATGGATAAGGGAAGGAGAGACACAGGGAGGGGGAGAGACAGGGGAGGAGGAGAGACGGGAGGCGGAGAGACAGGGGAGGCGGAGAGACAGGAGATGGAGAGAGACAGGGGAGGGGGAGAGAGACAGGGCAGTTAGAGAGGGGAGGGAGAGAGACAGGGGAGGGAGAGAGACAAGGGAGAGAGTGAGGGAAGGGAGAGGGACAGGGGTTGGAGGGAGAGAGATAGGGAGGAGGGGAGGGGGAGAGACAGGTGAGGGTTGAGGGAGAGGGATGGTGAGAGGGGCGAGGGAGAGGGGCGAGGGACGGGGCAAGTGAGATGGTGGAGAAAGAGGAAGAGAGACAGTGGAAGGAGTGAGACAGGTAAGGAAGAGAGACGGTGGAGGGAGAGAGATAGGAGAGGGAGAAAGACGGGAGCGGCAGAAGGAGACAGGTTAGGGAGAGGATGACGTAGAAGGAGAGGGGAGGTAGAGAGACAGCAGAGGATGTGGGAGAGGGTAAGAGAGGGTAAGGGAAAGGATGAGGGAGGGTAGAGTGAGAGGGTGATGGTAAGGTAGAGGGTAGGGGAGATGGCAAGGGAGAGGGGAGTGAGAGGGTAAGGGAGAGGGTGATGGTAAGGGAGTAGGGAGGGAGAGGGTGGGAGTAAGGGAGGGGGTAAGGGAGAAGGGAGTGAAAGGGTGAGGGAGAAGGGAGTGAGAGGGTAAGGGAGAGGGTGAGAATAAGGGAGAGGGTAAGGGAGGGAAAGGGAGTGATAGGGTGAATGGTAAGGGAGAAGGTTGAGGGTAAAGCAAAGGATGAGGTTAAGGCACCGGGAAAGGGTGAGGGTAAGGCAGAGGGTGAGGGTAAGGTAGAGGGTAAGGCAGAGGGAAAGGCAGAGAAACAGGAGATGGTGAGAGACAGGGAAGAGAGAGAGACAGGAGGCAGAGATACATGAGAAGGGGAGGACAGGGGATGGAGAGAGACGGGAAGGAGAGGGAGAGAAACGGGAGGAAGACGGAGAGGGGCAGGGGAGGCAGAGAGACAGGAGGGAGAGGGGCGGGGAGGCAAAGAGACAGAAGGGAGAGGCAGAGAGGCAGGAGGGAAAGAGAGGGACAGGGGAAGGAGGGGGGCAGAGGAGAGAGAGGGGCAGAGGAGGGAGAGGTAGGTAGACATGAGAGCGCTTTGGGACGTCCTCCGAACGTGAAAGGCGTTATAGAAATGTAATTTTGTTCTTGTTGAGAGGGAGAGAGTCAGTGGAGGGAGAGAGACACAGAGGGAGGAGAGACAAAGGGAAGGGAGAGAAATAGAGGAGGGAGACGGGCAGGGAAAGGAAAGACACAGGAGGGAAAGGCAGAGAGACATGAGAGGGCGAGGGGAGGGAGAGAGACAGGAGAGGGAGCGAGAGGTAGAGAGACAGGGAGAGAGAGTGAGAGGCAGAGAAACAGGATAAGGGAGAGGGTGAGGGTAAGGCAGAGGGTGCGGGAGAGGGTGAGGGTACGGGAGAGGATAGGGGTAAGGGAGAGGGTAAGGGTAAGGGAGAGGGTCATGGTAAGGGATAGGATAAGGGTAAAAGGAGAGGGTCAGGGTAAGAGAGAGGGTGAGTGAGAGGGTGAGTGAGAGGGTGAGTGAGAGGGTGAGTGAGAGGGTAAGGGAGAGGGTGAGTGAGAGGGTGAGTGAGAGGGTAAGGCTGAGGATAAGGGAGAAGGTGAGCGTAAGGGAGGGGGTAAGGGTGAAGGAGAGGGTAAGGGTGAGGGAGAGGGTAAGTATAAGAATAAGGGTGTGGGAGGAGCTAGGGGTAGGGAGAGGATCATGATCTATTTCTCACCCTGGTCCATTCTATTTGCTCAGTGTATCCAAGTATTTTGGGGGGTTTACTTTGCCATTCCCATTTAAAATGCTATATCTGAATGTCTGTAATAAGATCCCCTCCGAGTCCTTTCTTGTTAAGACTAAAGACCCCGACTGGTCTCATCATTGCTCAAGGTTTCGAACTGAGCCTGTGCCTCCCCAAGGCCATGAGGCTGATGATGAACAAGCTGCATTTATACAGTGGCCTTCAAGCATGTGGGTAGCATCTCAGAGCACTTAAAAGCACATGCATGCCATCCACACAGTTGGAACTGTGCTCTAACCCTGTGTTGGAATTATTCACATCACTGTTCTCATTTGGATCAGTAAGAGACGGAGGGGAGCAGCAAGTACTCTAAATGCACAGTTTGGGCCGTGGCGTTGAGGAGCTGCAGGAAGCTTTGCCAGTTGGTGAAGGCGTTCTGCTCCTGATGATGCATTTTAATGTCTCGACTGTTACAAATACAAACACTTTCCTCACTGCAAACCCACTCAACCTGAGCCAGCCACCACATCCTCCAGGGAAACATGATCGTCTTCAAACTGAACTGAGCATCCCCAGCAACCCCCACCATCACTACCCTGCAACCCAGCTGACTTTAGATGAGAGAATGCGAGATACAGAGAGAGAGAGAGAGAGTGAGAGAGAGAGAGATACACACTCAGGTGAACAATTTGATTGTGAGAGACTGACACAGACCCACAATGTGCTAGGTTCTGTATATCATGATTGGGGCGGTTCCAGGCAGTGTGGGTTTGGAGGTGTCCATCATGGCAAACATTGTGACTCACACTCTCTGATACTTCAAGTACTCTCCGCAGTCCAGGTTGTTGCTCCCGGAAATTTTTCCGCAGCTCCTGGAGAACACTGCTCGCATTCACGAGGTTTCCACCGGAGCCTCCAACAGGAGTGTTTCTGTGATAGGATAAAGGGGCAACAGCTGAATGGATTGGGATGGCTATTAGGGAACAGAGACCTTAGGCTGAAATTTAACAACTAGCTTCAATCCGCACTGGAATCCTTGAGCACCCGGGAATGGAGACCACCACAAATCTTATTATAATAATAATCCCAGCATTTGGTAAAGCTGCCTTTCATGCTGCTGAGATGTCTCAAAGCGCTTCACAGGATTTACCATAAAGTTTAGTGATTGTATTTTGCAGATGAACGGGGAAGCCAATTTGTGCACAGGAACATCCACACTCAGCCAGGAAACGAATGAGGGATTTTATCTGAGGCTATTCCCTCCTGCATTGGTCTGATGGCCTCCTCCTATGTTGTTAGCTTTGTTTGATTTATACACTGTGTTCCTAAAGATTTCACATTGTTGACAGCCTGGCTTGTCTGCAGGATTTGGAGGGGTAGAGAAATGGCTGGGTGCAGGAATTCCTTTTGCCAACCTGCTCTTGTGCACGTTTTGGCCAATCAAAACAACGTGCATTGTAGGGAGTCACGGAGTGAATGAAGTTTTATTTGAGGGATTGTTGGCCAGGACACCGGAGAAACACCCTTCTCTTTTTCAATAGTACCACGGGATTTGTAACATTCACCTGAACTGGCACAGATGGCACTTGAGTTTAATGTCTCATCCAAAGGACAGCACCCAACAATACTGCGCTCCCCCAGCACTCCACTGGAGTGTCAGCCTGGACTGTGAGTGCACAGTCCCAATGTGGGGTTTGAATCCATAACCTCTGATTCAGTGAGTGTCACCAATTGAGCCAAGCTGACACCTTATCAACATCCCTATTGATTGTGTCTCCACAGCTTTCTGGGGCCGAATGTTTCACATCCTCACAATGCTCTCTGTGTGAGGTTACGGTTCCCGACCTTAGCTCTGAATATAAGGCTCTGTCCCTTGTAACAATCCCTCTAGCTCTACCACTCTCTAACCTGTCAATTATTTTTGTTATTTTAGATATCTGAAGAGTTAAGTCTAATACCCAGGAGAATCTCTGGCCCAGACATAGTGCTAACTTCTCCTCACCTAAAAACTGCTGCTCCCAAACAAAAGCTAACCATTTTATTTCTCGTTTGCATCAGCTGTTCTTGTGTTATTCTGGTGCAGTAACATTTTTTTTAAGAGATATTCTTTTGCAAGTATTTTTGGATACTACATTTTGAAGACAATGGCAATACTCTGTACTGTCTGCTAATAATAATAATCCTTGCATTTCATTTAGCGCCTCATCGCATTGTTGAGACGTGTCAAAGGGCTTCATTACCCCTGGAAAGCGATCCCCCAATCAAATAACAACCGAGTTCCTACTTACTGCTTAGTAAACAGACTGTTTGTGGGACATTGCTGTGCGCAATTGGCTGCCGCGTTCGCCCACAAATATACAGTCAATTCACTTTACGGTGTGTTCTGTGAAGCGCTTTGGGACGTCCTCCCGACCTGAAAAGCGCTATATCAAATGCAAGGATTATTATTATTATTATTATGTAGATAAGGAAACTTGACTAAGCTTTTGCCCCGCCCGGAATCAAACCCGGGACCTCTCACTTGCGAGGCGAGTTCTCTCACTTGTTAACCACATTACAGGAGTGCTCTCCCCTGCACAGTGCATGCACTCTTCTTTTCTCAATACACTATGAGACACAGTATGTCCTCTAACCCACCTCTCCACCCCCACCAAGTATCATCTAACTCTTTAACCCCCTCTCACCAGCCAGTGTCTTCTACCTCCTGTTCCCCCAGCCAGTATCTGAAATCCCTCCAGCCCCACCAGTGTCTGAAGAACACTAGCCTCAAAAGCCCCGTGATGAAGCTTATTTCGCTGCCAGGCTGAGCATACCTGCGTGCTGGGGAGGTGGCTAGGGACGTCTTGTAAGTGTTCGCCGGATCTTCAAACTTAGCCAAAAATTGTTGCCACTCTATTTTACCAGTTGTTTTAACATCGAACCTGAACCACAAGACACAGAGCATAAGAGACAGCATCAGTTGAGCACCAATCACTGTGTGAGTCAGGTGACCACAAGCTTGCCCCATCAGGAAGCTGTCTCATGGCTGACAAGAGTGACATACGTACACATTGAGAGAATAACACACATAGCGTAAGAAACATATGTGAGAGACACATACACAGTGAGACACGCACACACACACAATGAGAAAGAGAGAAACACACACACACAGTGAGAGACAACAATTTTCATTTATATAGAGGCCCTTACGCTTCACAGTGACAATGCACAACGCCAAGCCGAGGGGAGGGAGCAGGTGAGGAAACAGTCAGGAAGGTCTTCAGGTACGACCCGAATATGCAGATGGTGGCGGCAAGGTGGAGGGATAGAGGAAGAGCATTCCAGAGTTTCGGGAAGTAATGGCTGAAAGCGTGAGCCGATGGTAGAACAGAGGGCACAAGGGACAAGCAGGAGACTGGAGCCAGTCGAGCGGAGGCAGCCGGTAGTGGGTTGGGGAGCAAACAAATGCTCTGATGTCGTCATATTGCCATGGTGGCTCATTTCAGGGTGTTTTACCCCAGAGGCCATCACTGAGCGAGCTGGACAGCTGTGACTGTGGTTGTCACCCCATTCACAGCTAATGTGTCTGACATTGATGGCTTTGTACTTACAGAAAGTATTGAAATAATAGAGAAAAATTTTAGAGCGCTTCGGGCTCTGACTGGTTAAAAAGGGTCTGCAACTTGCTTTATCCCAAATTCTTACTTGGTCATCAAAGTGTGGAAGATCTGGTGGTTCATGGGGAAGACAAAGCTGCTCAAAATTGATTTGAAATCTTCCAATGGGATGAAGCCAGTTCTTGTCGAGTCAAAAGACAGGAACGCTTGAGACAGGTACTTGCAGTCACTCCGCATCTGTTAATCCAACAGGAAAGAGGTGAAGGGGAGTTGGCAACAGCAGGAATACCCCAACGGCCAAATAGCCATCTTCTGCGCTAGCATTTTTCTAGGTTTCAGAGCTTAATTCACCGTCTGGATTGGCAAATAGTTGGAAATGGGAAGTGCGACGCGTCCATCCCTGGGAACGCCATAATCCAATTCCGTGCAGATGGAATGGAGCTAGGAATAGGACTAGCAAGGTATCGCTCCACCTGGATGTTGGGGTGGGGGGAAAGGGCAGTAATTATAATAGTTATAATCACAGTGCGAGTTATCACACCTACCAGAAATATGATCATAACAGTCAAGAGCTGATAGCAGCTCAGGGTTAACTCCCTCCTTCCCCATCTAGATATAACTATTTGTGTCAGCCTGGATCAGTCGGTCGCACTCTCATCTCTAAGTCAGAAGGTTGTGGGTTCAAGGCCCCACATACGGACTTGGAATCATACATTCTAAGCTGACAATCCAATGCAGTACTGGGGGGATCACTTCATTGTCGGAGGTGCCATCCTTTGGATGAAACATTAAACCAAGGTCCCATCTGCCTGTTCAAGATGGATGTTAATGATCAAAAGGCACTATTCAAAAAGAGAAGGGAGTTTCTCCTGGTGTCCTGGCCAACAAATCACCCAAATAAAACATTTGGTCACTCACTCCATGATTGTTTGTGGGTCATTGTTGTGCACAATTGACTGCCGTGTGACTGGCTGACAATCCCTTATATAAAATTGATCATTCATTTCATGGCTTTTTGTGGGATATTGCTAAGTGCAAATTAAGGGCCAGATGTGCCACAAAACAGTCAATCCACTTTACAGTAAATCCTGTGATGCACTTTGGGATGTCTTCTTGCCGTGAAAGGCACTATACCAAATGTAAGGATTATTATTTATCAATGACTCATTGTAAATATCTAGGACCGGGAGCAATAATAGGGAGACATTTGATAGGGAGACAATCTGTTTCCAGATTGGGAGACAATTGAGGAATAAAGACAATAAGTGATTTAATGAGAGGGTAAGAGCAGTGGAGGCTGTGATACATGGCTCTGCAATGGGGCGATTCGATGGGCTGAAATGGCCTCCTTTTGCTCCTTATTTCCTAAATGCAGCCAATAAAAACATATGGTGCCCCTCATGCAGGGTAGCGTCCCCGAGTGCTTGACTGCGGCAGAGCACAACACCAAGCCGGGGAGAGGGAGGAGGTGACCTTAGGCATGGTTGAAGAGGAAGGTCTTCAGGCACAACCTGAAGATAGAGAAGAAAAGTGCAAGGGGATAGATAGAAAAAGAGTGGTCCAGAGTTTCGGGGTGTAATGGCTGAAAGCACGGCAACCAATAGTGTAATGGAGCCAAAGAGCATGGTAACCTCTTGTTGACATTTACAGTTTGTACTCATCCAGGCCTTGATGTCTGCTAGACACGCTGGCAGAACACTGGCAGACCTGGAGTCGCAGCTGGAGGAGGAGAAATAGATTTGTGTGCCATCCGCATACATGGAGTCGTGGAGTCCTGTAGCTCAGTGGTTAGAGCACTCGCTTTGCAAGCGAGAGACCTGAGTTCAATTCCAGGCAGAGGGCGAAACCTTGGGCAAGTTTCCTTACTCCACACGACTAATAATAATCCCTCCAAAACCAAAAACAATAATAAAATGGTCATTTTCAATCTACGAATGTTTGTGGGACATTGCTGTGCGCAATTGGCTGCCGCGTTCGCCCACAAATATACAGTCAATTCACTTTACAGTGTGTTCTGTGAAGCGCTTTGGGACATCCTCCTGACGTGAAAAGCACTATATCAAATGCAAGGATTATTATTATTATATTATTATTATGTGAAAGTTCACCCCGTGTATGTGGATGACATCGCCAAGAGGGAGCATATAGATGAAAAAGAGGAGGGGGCCGCTGGAAGAGACAAAGTGAAGGCAGTTTGTTAGGTAGGACTCGAACCAGATTAGTGCAGTTCCACTGATATGGATGAGGAGAGGCAGTGGATGTGCATGGCGTGATCGAGTGTGTCGAATGAGGCAGAGAGATCCTGGAGAACAAAGAGGCACAAGGAAACATGATCACAGAAAGAGTGATGACAATGGTTTTCAGGGGGAAGAGGAACAGAGCCTGAGGAGAGCGACTGGTTGACTGTATCGGCCAGCAGCGGGGAGAGGTTGGGGAGTTGAGTGGTCAGCAGCTGGGTCGGCAGAGGGTTGAGTCAGAAGATGGTGGGCTTCATTTGGGAGATGGTTGTTGAAGGGGTGGGGGGAGTAATTGGGTCAAAGGAGTGTAGAGAGGGGGGAATGATAGGGATCGTGACAGAAGAACGGGGTAGTGTAAACGGTCTGGGGGGTGTAGAATGGGACTTAGGGGAGGAGGATGTAGCCAAGTGGATGCCTTTTGGAGGTGGGGGAGGCGGCTGTGTTGGGAGAGTGGATGATGGGGCAATTGGGGTGGCTGTTTTGGGACAATCATCGCCAAGAGCCATGATGGGCCTGGCGGAGGATGCCCAGGCTGGAGCAGAGGGATACGGTCGAGAAGAGTGAAAAGGCGAGGAGGACGGGAGGAGAGAATAATTGATTGGAAATAGCAGAGAGTGGGGAGTAGAAGGGGGAACGGCGGAACACAAAATCAACCTGTTACTTTCCACCTCAAACCAACGACTCAAACGGCCATACACTCTAACTGGCCGTGGAAAAAGGCACCTTTTTTCGAAACTGCGTTTCAAGCTCATTAATGGTTAACCCCTTCATGTTGGCCTTTTCCTCCTGAATGAAGGCCTCGCAGGTGTCCAGCTGTTGCTTCTGCTCCTGGAGCGGAATTTCCCAATTGAGCACTGGCAAAAGGGAAAAGAATCAATTTGGTCTCTGTACCCACACACACTGGCGCCGCATCATGTATCACAGTAACAGCCCTCACACACAGTTTCTGTTCCCGTCTCCTACATCATATGTCACAGAAGAACAGACAACACTGGGCAAGACCGTCACTCCCATGCTCTGCCAGATGTGAGCACACAAGTCACTCCCAGGCCCCGCCAGGTGTGAGCAAACGTCACTCCCATGATCTACCAGGTGTGAGCACACATGTCAATCCCAGGCCCCGTGAGGTGTGAGCACACACATCACTCCCAGGCTCTGCCAGGTGTGAGCACACACGTCACTCCCAGGCTCTGCCAAGTGTGAGCACACACGTCTCTCCCAGGCTCTGCCAGGTGTGAGCACACACGTCTCTCCCAGGCTCTGCCAGGTGTGAGCACACACGTCTCTCCCAGGCTCTGCCAGGTGTGAGCACACACGTCTCTCCCAGGCTCTGCCAGGTGTGAGCACATATGTCACTCTCAGGCTTTGTGCACTCGGATGCTCAGTGAGCCAGCGCCCCTACCTTCCCCTACACCTTCCAGGGGGGGTTTGCAGGGAGGATCGAAGGCAAAGCCCATCTTCTCCAGGAATTCCTGGTAATTCACTGTCTGTTTGCCGCCGGAATGGGAAGTAGATCGAGGGCAAATCCTGCCGAAGTATAAAAGCTAGATACTGAGAATGGTCAAAAGTAGCCAACAAAGTCATAACAAACAAAATATTTTGTGCATTTGATCCAGGGCCTGTCGCGTCAGAACATCTCAAAGAGCTTCACAGCAAATTGCTGTATTTCTAAGTAATCGCATCTGCCAATCTGCAAACAGCAAAAGCCCACAAACAATTTCTCCCCAGTGTCCTGGCCGACAATTCTCCAAACCAATCGCTCATTCACTTCCCAGCTGTTTGTAGGACATTGAAAGCCCAAACTGGCTGCTGCGTTCGTCCACAAAACACACTTTACAGGTTTTACAATTCTCTGTGAAGCTCTTTCAAATGTTTCAACATTATAGGAATGACTAGAAGATTTATTCTGTAATGGACTGACTATCCTCACACACAGCCCTCACCCTACTCATACACAACACACACAGCCCTCACCCTGCTCACACATGCACACACTCGCGCGCATACACACACAGTCCTCATCCTGCTCACACACACACGCAATGCCTTCTCCCTGCTCACACACACAGCCCTCACCCTGCTCACAAACACAGCCCTCACCCTGCTCACAAACACACACACAGCCCTCTCCCTGCTCACACGCACACACAGCCTGCTCACACAACACACAGCCCTCCCTGCTCACACACAGCCCTCTCCCTGGTCTCACGCACACAGCCCTCTCCCTATTCACACACACATAGCCCTCTCCCTGCTCACACACAGACCAGCCTGTGCTGCTTGTACTCACCAGTTAAACTGAGCGTCAGTCATTGTGAAACAGAAGCTCTCAAGGACTTTCCGAACGCTGTAGCGTTTAATGGACTGATCCCGATTGTAATCGAATAACCTGAAGGTTCTGATAATGTTTTTTAAATTCGTTGCCATCTGTGTGATTCAAGAGAAAGTCTGCATGTGAAGTGCTGATGGGACTCTCTGGGTTAGGAGAACCACACAGGGCTGATCGAGATGTAGAACGAATGAATAAACACGTGTAATCCATAACAGCTTTTAAAAAAGGAACTAGAATCCGACATTCTATTGAGTCACGTCACCTTGCAGACAGCTCAGTCCAGAGGAGGCCAACTTACCTCTCCACCTGCCAAGCAAGATGGAGGAAAGTGGAATGGCTGTGGGGGCAAGGATGGGGGGATGGGGAATCAGACAAAATAGAAGTTTTGATCCACTATACTGCCAATACCTCACCTTTTCTTTAAGACGGCTCTCAAACTGGGTTAACGTCAAATGGGGATTAGGTGTGCTAAAGAAAGAGAAAACAAAAAAGAGCACAGTCAAACTAGTTATTGTTTTGAAATGAGCTGAGAACTCAGCACAGTGTTACTGGCAACTATTTCTGTGACCATGGCAGCACTCAGACCAAAATATTACAATCTCCAAGTGAACAAAAGCTAGTTGCATCGTTTGGCAGTTCAAAGAGCAGATGAAGACTGCAGCCTGTGACACTGAGGAAGAGATAACCAGAGCTGTGACTGAACATCTCAATCCAATGTACAGTGTTCATTCACACAGGAGAGGATTAAATCCACAATACCAGCCGACAGTGAATGAACAGCCAGCCATTTCTCATGTGTGCCTCAAGTTATTCCTCAGCTTGGCTCAGTTTATAGCCTCTAGGTTGGAAGGTTGTTGTTCAAGTTCCATGTCAGGGACTTTGAGCTCATAGTCCAGGCTGTTGCACCAGTGCAATGTTCGGGGAGCACTTTATTGTTGGACATGTCCTTTGGACGACACGTTGCAGCGAGGTCCCGTCTGCCTTTTCTCCTGATGTCATAGAATCACAGAATTATACAGCACAGAAGGAGGCCATTTGGCCCATCGTGTCTGTGCCGGCTCTTTGAAAAGACCTATCCAAATTAATCCCAGTCCTCCGCTTTCTCCCAAAAGCCCTGCAAACTTGTCCTGCCCAAACAATTGTCTACTTCTCTATTAAAAATTGGTATCGAATTGGCTTCCACCAGACTTTCAGGCAATGCATTCCAGATCCAAACAACTCACTGTGTGAAAAAATTTCTTCATCTCCCCTGTTTCTTTTGACAACTATTTTAAATCGGTGTCTTCAGGTTACCGACACACCCGCCAGCAGAAATAGTTACTTCTTGGCCACCCTATCAAATCCTCTCATAATTTTGAAAACTTCTATTAACTCTCTTCTTAACTTTCTCTGCTCCAAGGACAATAATCCTAGCTTTTCCAGCCTCTCCTGATAACTGAAGTCCCTCATTCCTGGTACCATTCGGGTAAATCTCCTTTGCACCCTCTCCAATGCCTTGACATCCTTCCTAAAGTGTAGTGCCCAGAACTGAACATAGTACTCCAGCTGAGGTTTAACCAGTGTGTTATAAAGGTTCTTCATAACTTCCTGACTTTTGTATTCTATGCCCCTATTTATAAAGCCAAGTATCCGATATGCTTTTTTAACAGCTTTATCCTCTTGTCTTGCCATCTTCAAAGATTTACTTATATTAACCCCCAGGTATCTCTGTTTCTTCACCCCATTTAAAATTCTAACATCTAGCTTATATTGCCTCTCCTCATTCTTCCTTCCAAAATGCATCACTTCGCATTTATCCACATTAAACTTCATCTGCCACATACCTGCCCATTTTACCAATCTGTCGATCTCCTGGTGCAGTCTGCTACTATCCTCCTCACTGTTTACTACTTTTCCTATCTTACTATCATCTGCAAACTTGAAATTGTACTCCGGATATCGAAGTCCAGGTCATTTATATAGATCAAAAACAGCAATGGTCCCAATACTGACCCCTGGGGCACACCACTGCATTTCCCTCCAATCAAAAAAACCATTCACCACCACTCTCTGCTCTCTGTCTCCCAGCCAGTTCTGTATCCATGCTGCCACTGTCCCTTTAATACCGTGGGCTTCTATTTTGCTTACACGTCTCTTATGTGGCATTTTATCAAAGGTCTTTTGAAAATCCATATAAACTACATCAATTGCACTACCTTCACCTGCCCTCTCCGTTACTTCATCAAAAAACTCTCTCAGGTTTGTTAGACATGATTTGCCTTTAACAAATTTGTGTTGGCTGTCCTTTATTAAACCCATATTTTTCTAAGTGAAAAATTATTTTGTCCCGTATTATAGTCTCTAGAAGTTTCCCAACTACTTACGATAGGCTGACTGGCTGTAGTTCCTGGGTTTATCCTCCTGCCCCTTTTTGGACAGAGAAGTAACATTTGAAACCCTCCAGTTCTCTAGTACCACCGCGGTGTGCAAGGAAGATTGTGACCAGAGCCTGTTATTTCCATCCTTACTTCCCTCAGTAACCTAGGATGTATCCTGTCTGGACTGGGTGACTTATCTATCTTGAGCACCGACAACTTTATTAGTACCTCCTCTTGGTTTATTCTTATCTTATCCAATTTCTCTACCCTCTCCTCCAATACCATGACATTGGCTGCATCCTCTTCCTTTGTAAAGACTGATGCAAAGTATTCATTCAGTACGTCAGCCATGTCCTCTGCCTCCACAAGAAGATTTCCTCTTTGATCCCTAATTGGACCCATTCTACATAAGAACATAACATAAGAATCAGGAGCAGGAGTAGGCCATTCGGCCCTTCGTGCCTGCTCCGCCATTCAATAAGATCATGGCTGATCTTCTCACCTAACTCTGATTACCTGCCCTATACCCTTATCCCCTAATCCCTCTATTTTTCAAGAATCTATCAGTCTCAGCCTTGAAAATGTTCAAAGACTGAGCATCTACAGCCTTCTGGGGTAGTGAATTCCATAAGTTCACTACCCTCTGAGTGAAGAAATGTTTCCTCAACTCTGTTCTGAGAGGCTGACCCTTAATTTTAAGACTGTGACCCCTGGTTATAGATTCTCCTACCAGGGGAAACAGTCCCTCTGTGTCTACTTTATCCAGCCCTTTAAGAATCTTATAAGTTTCAATAAGATCCCCCCTAATTCTTCTGTACTCTAGAGAATACAGCCCTAGTTTATTCAGCCTATTCTCATAGGTCAGTCCCCTCATCCCAGGAACTAACCGAGTGAATCTACGCTGCACCCCCTCTAGGGCAAGTATGTCCTTTTTTAAATAAGGAGACCAAAACTGCACACAATACTCTAGGTGCGGTCTCACAGTTGCAGCAAGACTTCCCTACTTTTATATTCTAAACCTTTCGAAATGAACGCTAACATGCCGTTCGCCTTCTTAGTTGCTTGCTGCACCTGCAAACTAACTTTTTGGGACTGGTGTACAAGGACACCCAAATCCCTTTGAATACTAACACTATCTAACTTCTCCCCTTCCAGAAAATAATCTGTTCTTTTATTCTTGCTACCTAGGTGAATAATTTCGCACTTGCTAACGTTGAATTCCATCTGCCACCTACTTGCCCACTCCCCTAGCCTATCTATATCTTGTTGCAATCTTTTTGCATCATCCTGAGAGCTCACTCTGCTACCTAGTTATTCTACCTTTTATTCTTTATATGCTTATAAAATACCTTAGTCCTGTAGCTCAGTGGTTAGAGCACTCGCTTTGCAAGTGAGAGACCTGAGTTCAATTCCAGGCAGGGCGAAACTTGGGCAAGTTTCCTTACTCCACACAGAGCCTAATAATAATCCCTCCAAAACCCAAAACAATAATAAATTGGTCATTTTCAATCTACGACTGTTTGTGGGACATTGCTGTGCGCAATTGGCTGCCGCGTTCGCCCACAAATATACAGTCAATTCACTTTACAGTATATTCTGTGAAGCGCTTTGGGACGTCCTCCCGACGTGAAAAGCGCTATATCAAATGCAAGGATTATTATTAGGTTTCCCTTTTATGCTACCCACTAATCTTTTCTCATACAATCCCTTTGTCCTTATTTCCTTTTTCAGATCTCCTCTGTACTTTCTATATTCTATTTGATTATCTTCTGTATTTTGGATCTGACATTTATCGTAAGCTTCACATTTCTGTTTTATTTTAATCCCAATTTCCCTTTTCATCCGGAGAGCTTTGGATACCCTACCTTTCCCCTTTGTGGGAATGTATTTGTTCTGTCCCCGAACTATTTCTTCCTTGAAGACTTCCCAATGCTCGTTAGCTGTTTTACCTGCCAATCTTTCTTTCCGGTCCACCTTGGCTAGGTCCCTTTTTAAGTCACTGAAATTATCCCTCTTCCAGTTGAGTATCTTCACCTTTGATTGTTCCTTGTCCCTTTCCATAAGTACTCTAAACCTAATAATGTTGTGATCACTGTTGTCCAGATGTTCCCTACTGAAACCTGCTCCACTTTCCCCATTTCATTCTCCAGAACTAGATCCAGCACTGCTTCCTTCCTCTTTGGGCTGGAAAATAGTGATCCAGAAAGTTATCCTGCACACATTTCAGGAATCTGATAGAGGAAAAAGATGTTATGGTATGTTTAATTGTATATCGTAGCTTGTGCCCTGGCCTATTGCTGTGTAAACGCCTTTAAGCAGACATAAGTAAGTAGGTTAGACTTGTTATTGTAGAATCCCGTTATCTGAAGGCCACAGTGTAAGGAACGGCGGGTGATAACATAGAAATGGCCTTCTAGCAAAACTGCAAGATTAGTACAGTTGAAACAAGCTGAAGCAAGAAGTGCGGGAATGCATGCAGCAAACCTGATTGGTCTGTAAGGAAAAACACCCCTTCTGTGTATTTTGTGTACTCCTGTATAAAACTTATTGGTACCGAAGAAGAGGATCTTTTGTCTGACAGGGAGACATTAGATCCTATTTGTATACGGGAAAAATTGTGTGCTCCTGTATACAAGTAGAAATAAAAACCCATTCTTTGTTTCTTAAGTTTACTTGTATCAGATTTTTTCTCTCCAGATACAGACACATAATTCGCGGATCTAACAATTGGGGGCTCGTCCGGGATCCCAACATCTCATCGCACCCTACAGTAAACCCGCCAGACCAGTAGTTGTATACGTGAGTTGTCAGGGACAACCCGCCGCTGGGCGGACCTAGATCGAGAAGGATCGAAAGGCCGTATATAAGAATTATCTGGGATAATTTGCTCGAACACTCTACAGCCTCAAATCGGTGAGGATCCCCCTGAGAGAAAGTCGTCCTCGACGTACAAGTGGGGTGAGTGGTGGAGCCGGTCTGGGGGCAAACCGGGAGAGTGGGTGAGTGACGGGACTACCCGAAACAAATATATATATATGCGAATAACGAGTGTCTGATTGAGATAAGTCAAATACAATTAAACATGGGCAATAGAAATGGTAAAGAGGGTTGTTGTACGTGTTGTAAGCGAGTAGAGGAAGTGGAATTGTCTCCTAATGGCCGACGTATGGAGGCCGTAGTTACGGGGAGCGGGAAACCAGAATTCATGTGGAGAAAGAAGTTTGGATTAGATAAATTAAAAAGCCCTACTCGGATTACCTCGAAAACAATTTTCTGGAACGATTCCACAATGGGATGTTTGGTCGCTCTGCAGCCCGAGGATGAGTTAAATTATAAAAATGAAACTTTTCCCCATGTTTCAGTGGCTAAAGCCGTTGGGGAGGAATGGGAAAATGTGGGAGTATGTATCTATAAGGGAAGGAGGCTGACTGATTGGAAGGAGATAGGAAAACCAGCTATCTGGTATTCAGAAAAGGGAAAAGTATTCTCCAGACAACTGAATTGGGTGGCTCATTGTATACGGGCAAGATTCATGAGAGGACCCCCTGCGAGACCGTGACTAATCGGGCTCAGTGCAGATTTGGAAAAAGCGTTAAACCAAATCCCAGAATCTTTGTGGTCACAGGGTCCGGCGGATGTTGGGTTAATGCAGGGAGTAGAGCCCATTAAAATTAACCCTAAAAGCACCTTCAGACCATACCAAAGACAGTATCCCATCTCGCCGGAAGCACGTGAAGGAATTAAACCCATTATTGAAGAATTAAAAGAAAAAGGGGTCATTGTTCCGTGTCCTGATTCCCTTTGTAACACCCCACTCTTTCCAGTAAAGAAGGTCCCTCCCTCCGTCGGGTGGTGATTGGTACAGGACATCCAAGCAGTAAACAAAGCAGTAATAGCAAGGGCTCCTGTAGTACCCGATCCCAGCACGCTCTTAAATGATATGCGCAAGGATGCAAAATGGTTTTCAGTTATTGACTTGACCAATGCATTTTTCTCAATACCAATCCAAAAAGATTCCCAGTTTTGGTTTGCTTTTACCTTCCTGGGGAAAAAGTATACATATACCCGCTGTCCTCAGGGCTATGTTGAATCACCAGCAATATTCTCGCAATGTATGGAAAGCAACCTGGCTAAATTCGACCCTCCCAAGGGCAGCCAGCTCTTGTTATATGTGGATGGTATAATGCTTTGTTCCCCTAATAGACAAACTTGTCTGTTCGAACGCTCGCTTGCCTAAAATTTTTGGGAGAACAAGGACATAAGGTTAGCAGAAGTAAATTACAATTGTACCAACGGAAAGTCAAGTACTTGGGTCACCTCATATCAGGGGAGGGAAGAGCATTGTTACCCGATAGGAAATTAGCTATCCTTGACGCTCCCAAACCGCGGACTAAGCGGCAGAAGGACAGCTAATTTTACATAGCTCAGAGGAAATACATATAGATTGCACGATGGTCAAGGATATGCAAACTGAGTCTACGGCACTCGAAAAGCGGTGCTGGAAAAACCAGGGATGTAAGATGACAGACACAGGAATCTGGGTTGGGTCCAATCGACTACCCGTGCTACCCAAAGCACTTTTCCCTACTGCGGCGGAATTGAGCCATGGTAAATGTCACATCTCAAAAGGGGGGATAGTATCGATGATAAATGGTAGATATACAACCTTCGGATTCTCATCCTATACAAAAACATTTTTTGTAAAAAGTGCCTTACATGTCTACAAAACAACCCACAGGGAGGAGTAAAATGCCCAAAAGGACAAATCCCCCCCCCCCCCCCCTCAGAGCCATTTGCTCATTTGGATGATGGATTTCATTCACTTGACGCCAAGTGAGGGAAAGCAGCATTGTTTGGTAATGATATGCCCATTCTCAGGGTGGGTGGAGGCATTCCCCACCGCAAAAATAGACGCACTAACGGTAGCAAAAATATTATGCCGCGAGATAATACCGAGGTGGGGAATACCTCAAGTCCTATATAGTGATAATGGACCCGAGTTTCGAAATGCAGTCCTTGATCACGTCGGAAAACAATTAGGCATAAAACTGAAAAAGCACTGCGCTTACCACCCTCAATCGGCCGGATTAGTGGAGAGACATAACGGTACACTTAAGAATAAATTAAAAAAGGCAATGCAGGAAACAGGCAAGGGATGGGTAGCCTGCCTGCCATTGGCACTTACTAGCATGCGCATTGTCCGAGGGAATAAACCACTATCACCATTCGAGATAGTACAGGGAAAATCCTATCGCATTCCCCAGTTGGGAGACAACGAGGGGTAGTTAAAAGAAGCATGTCCTGCCGACTACATGGGAAACATGCTATCTAATAAAAAAGAAATGCTTAATATTCTACCCCCTCAGACTATCACCGAGACATCGTTGGTCCCCTCGCTGCAACCGGGAGACTGGATCCTGATTAAAGACGTAAAAAGAAAGACCTGGCATCACCCTAAATGGAAGGGACCGTTTCAAGTCCTCCTGACTACTCCCACCACCGCTGTTAAAATTGCAGAAAGAACTACTTGGATACATTTGACACATTGTAAAAAGGTAACAGAGGGAATTGGACAGGAAAATACCACGTAAGTGTTAAAGTCTGGTTACAAAGGGGGGTGTATGCACTAGGATATGCTCACTTCAACCCAGTGAAGACTCAAGAAAACACTGCGGGTATCAGGTAACTGCCCAATTCCCGCCATGTTTACATTATTATTATTAACAGGAGTGGGAAGTCTTGTCCTAGCAAACGAAGATAAGCATGTCTCAGGGGAAAAAGGGAGCACCATCTCCTTCGACTGCAACCCTAGGCCCTACAGGGATCCGAGTAAAACTAAAGTTCACTTCCGCCACCAGCGTGATGAAAAGTATTTCTGCAAACATCCGTGTGGCCCCTACAATTGGCACTCGGTAGTGGCCAATACACGCCGAGGCCACTCGATTGGGTCTCGGTTCTCAATTTCAAAGATAGAAAACAGTGATGGGGCAAGAGTTCAGATAACACAGCTGTCTGATTCGGATGCAGGCACCTGGTGGTGTGGTATAGAAAGACCTTATGGGGATTTATACCAAAAAAATTTAATCAATGTCCTCAATTCCCAACAATCAAAAATTACAGAAGTCACAAAAGTTCCCACCTCTGAGGAGGAAGAATTGATTGAGGAAATGGCAGTCTCTGGGGAGGAGGATAAACAAAAAATTCAATCGGCCACTCGGGCCCTGAGCATTTGCAATGATAATCATGCTTACGCACTTTCGATCCTCCAGGCAGGAAGCCTTGAAACAAAACACTGCTGGATTTGTCAGCAAATGAGTTCCCGCCTGCACGTTATTCCCCTGTCCACCGTAAAGCATGTGAATATCTAATGTGGGCACTGCTGGTGCCTTGACAAAAATTAATGGGTTAGCGACTCAGTTACATGCCATGGCTAATGAGACGGTAGAAGCAGTGATAGATGGGAAATGGGAGCCATGCACAAGGCAATCATACAACATCATCTGATAATAGACATGCTTACGCCTGAGAAAGGAGGTGTTTGCAAAATGCTCGGGACCAGTTGCTGTTTCTTTATTCCCGATGGCCATCAAAATTTGACAATGTCATCTCTCACATGCGGTCTGCCACCAAGGAACCTCAGAGACCCTCTGATTGGCTTAGTAAGTGGCTTTCTCAATGGGGATGGGGAGCTTGGCTATGGAAATTAGGTATGTACCTGTTAATAGTAATAGTTGTTCTCATGCTGTGCTGCTGTTGTATTATTCCCCTTATTCGGAGTACTATTTCTAAGATGATTCCTGCCGCCACATTTATGATGACGAGTGAGGACAACCTTAGCTTGAAGAAGGCACTGGAGGAATGCATGATATGCACCTGGGAAAACGTTTTCTGCAGAATGAGTAAACTATAAGCACCTGTGATGGGTCTGATCTAAAACCTGTACTTGCAGAAGGATCAGACTACTGATGTTATGCTTAAAGGTTGCATGTAATGCACAGAAAAAGGACATAAATATCAGTTTAAAATACCATAAAAAGGAGGGAATGATAGAGGAAAAAGATGTTATGGTATGTTTAATTGTATATCGTAGCTTGTGCCCTGGCCTATTGCTGTGTAAACGCCTTTAAGCAGACATAAGTAAGTAGGTTAGACTTGTTATTGTAGAATCCCGTTATCTGAAGGCCACAGTGTAAGGAACGGCGGGTGATAACATAGAAATGGCCTTCTAGCAAAACTGCAAGATTAGTACAGTTGAAACAAGCTGAAGCAAGAAGTGTGGAAACGCATGCAGCAAACCTGATTGGTCTGTAAGGAAAAACACCCCTTCTGTGTATTTTGTGTACTCCTGTATAAAACTTATTGGTACCGAAGAAGAGGATCTTTTGTCTGACAGGGAGACATTAGATCCTATTTGTATACGGGAACAATTGTGTGCTCCTGTATACAAGTAGAAATAAAAACCCATTCTTTGTTTCTTAAGTTTACTTGTATCAGATTTTTTCTCTCCAGATACAGACACATAATTCGCGGATCTAACAAATCCTTCTCCCTCCTTGCCCTTTATACTGTTATTTTGCCATGTTAGGATAATTGAAGTACCCCATTATCTTGCAGATTTGCTTGTCTATCTCATTCCCACTATTTGGTGATATATAGTATACACCTAACAGAGTAACAGCTCCTTTTCTGCTCTTGAACTCTAACCAAATAGATTCTGTTTTTGGATCCTCATTGTCCCTTTTCAGGGCCCTAACCGTGTCTTTAATCAACATTGCCATCCCCACTCCTTTTCCTTGCCTATCCCTCCTGAATACATTGTAGCAAGGAATATTCAGCTCTGGTTCCTGCCCTTGTTTGAGCCAGGTTTTCGTTATTGCCACTACATCATAACCCCATGTGGCAACTTGAGTCTGCAGCTCACCAATCTTATTCTTCACACTCCATGCATTTACACATGTGCACTCCCAAGACCAACTGAGTCTGCTCTGCATTTCTCCCCCGACTAATCCCTCCTTTTTCTGGAATACTCCTTATTACATTGCTATTCGTCTCTCCCAGCCCTTTAGGTAACTCTCCAAAGCTACATCCTGATTCCCTTCCACCCTCAAAATTAGCTTAAAACCTTCGGTTCCAGCCCTGTTCAGGTGTAACCCATCCCCCTTGTACAGGTCCCACCTGCCCCAGAACTGGTCCCAATGATCCAAGAACCTGAAGCCCTCCTTTCTGCACCATTTCTCCAGCCATGCATTCATGTATTTGATCCTGCTGTTTTGATACTCACTTGCACGAGGCACTGGGAGTAATCCAGAGATTACCACCTTTGAAGTCCTACTCTTTAGCTTTTTCCCTAGCTTCTGATACTCTTCCTGAAGGATCTCAGTCCTTTTTTCCCCTATGTCATGGATCCCAACATGGACCACGACTTCTGGATATTCTTCTTCCTCCTATAGAACTGTTTGCACCCCTTCCGTGATGTCTTGAACCTTGGCACCAGGGAGGCAACATACCATGCGAGTCATGTTTTTGGTGAAACGTCTATCTACTCCTTTCACCATTGTGTCCCCAATGACAATTGCATTGACGGCATCCCCGTGTATCCATTTGCTCTTGACTCCCCTACCCAGAGGTGTCATCACCCAGACCGGTATTCAGTACAGAGAACCAGTTTATGAGTGCCACACTTTCAGGGGATTTCTGCACCTCTTCCAGTGGTCACCCGGCATGGTAGGAAGAGGTGCTGAACCCTTTGTGACTGTGTGAAACATTCGATTCATGAATGTCCTGAGCAACAATGATAGATTTCTAGAATATACAGCTCAGAAACAGACCATTCAACCCATCAATAAGCTGGTGTTTGTACTCCACCAGTGGTTATCCAAGATGGGATCCAAGATCCCATCCCTTGTCCTATATCCTGGCTTTTCCTGGAAATGTCTCATTGTTATTGTCTTTTACCATATGTCCAGTGTTGTTTACAATGTGTACATGGTTACCACCTCAACCACTGACTGTGACAGAAAATTCCACACTCCCACTGTCTCTGGGTAAAAAAGTTCCTCCTAATCTCCATCTGGATCTCCCACTTCTGGTTCTAAAACTATGTTCAAACTATGTTCAAAAAAATCTCTCCCCATTCACTCTTGTCTAAACCTCGCATAATCTTGTATACCTCTATCATACCCCTCTCAGTCTTCCGAGTTCCAAATAAACAACAACCTTTAGTTTTAACAAGCTTCCAAAAAAAATGGTCATTTACATCCTTAAGGTCTGTTTATGGGACTTTAGTGCAAATTTGCCACTTGTTAAGAATCACTTGCGATGTGCTGGAAGACGCTGCAAATCAAAAAGGCAACTTTCTCCTTTACTGACAATAAACTGAGTGTGTTCAGCCGACCAGTGGGTGTGTGTGTGGGAGGGGGGGAAGTCGGAAGCGTTGCTGGTAACCCAGAAACTTACTTGCTTGCCTTTTATGTCTACAACTTGTTCCATTTCAAATCATCTGCCTGGCTCCATCAATCACCGAGTGTTAGCTGTTCCCCAGCTAAGCATAGCCACATTCCTACCTGTCTTTTCCATCATGCGGTGGATTTGAGTCGCAGCTTGAAAGCTGATCCAGGAACTTAATGTAAGGAACCGTTCCATCTCTGTTGATAGGAAGCTTAAAGAAAAAACAATAGACACACATCAACAACATGTACCAAAGATTTACTACCACTGACTGCTCCCTCCGTCCCTTACACCCCACCACACATACAGAATAGTGTATTTCTTCTGTATGTGTGGGCAAGAAATACACTATTCAGAAGAAAATTGCAGATACTTTGAGACATTGAGTTAGAAAGATATAATTTACCTCAAATGTCAATGTAATAATTATCCTTGAATTTGAGCCAAGTTTGCATCTTATCATGTCTTTGAGACGTCTCAAAGTGCTTCACAGAATACAGTGTAAAGTGGAGTGACTGTGTGTTTGGTGGGTGAAACATTGCAGCGAACTGCGCACATCAGTGTCCCTCAGTTGTGGATTGAGTGACCACATTATTATTAGTAGTTTTTGTAGGGATTATTACCCCGGGGAGAGCGATCTGCCAATCGACTAACAAATGGGTTCCAATTTACTGCTCGGTAAACAGAAGCATGTGTGTGGAGTCAGGAAATTTGTCTAAGGTTTTGCCCCACCTGGAAATCGAACCCAGTCCTCTCGTTTGTGAGGCGAGCACTCTTAACGACTATGCTACACGACATGCGTATATATAGACATGCACCCTCAAGGGGTTTTGGAGGGGGGTGGGTATGGTTATATATAAAATAAGGCTCGCCCAGGCAGTGAGATTCAGGCTGGGATCTAAGGGGGTACGGGTTGTGGGGAGCGGCGCATATGTTTAAAATAAGGGAGTATAAACAAGAGAGAGAGAATGAGGGAGAGGAAAAAATGAGAAATAAGGTGAGAGAGAGAAAGAACGAGAGAGAGTGAGGAGGGGAGGGAGAAGAGATCAGACATGATCTAATAGAATGGTGGAACTGGCTGGAGTGGCTGAATGGCCTGCTCCTGTTCCTATGCTTGCATGAAAGAGACTGAGAATGAGAGAAATAACGAGAGATAGCGAGAATGAGAAAGAGTGTGAGAGAAAGAATGAGATACGAGAGAGGGGAGAGAGAACGAGAGTGAGAACAAGAGAGAGTTGTAGCATAAGAAATAAAACAAGTGAATCAGAAGCACAAATTCAACAACAACAACAAAATTACATTGTATAGCGCCTTTCACGTTGGGAGTACGTCCCAAGGCCCTGGACAGTCAGTGTTTTGGACCCGAACTGGGGGTCGGGATTGGGGAGGGTGGTGGGCAGGGGTGGAAGGAGAGTGATCGAAAGCAGTCGACGAGGAGGGTCTTGACATGGGTCTTGAAGGAGGCAAGAGAGGGGGCGAGGCGGAGGGACTGCAAGATGGAGTTCCAGAGGGTGGGGGCAGAGTGGCAGAAGACCTGCCCGCCAATGGTGGGGTGGGCAAGGCAGGGGACATGAAGCAAGCCGGAGCCCACTGAACAGAAGGAGTGGGCAGGATGCTAGGGGGTTAGGAGGTCACAAAGGTAGGGGGGAGCAAGGCCATGGAGGGCTTTGATGGTGAGGACCAGGATCTTGAACTGTATCCACTGAGTGATGGGGAGCCAGGGAGTCGAACCAGGATGGAGGTGATAGGGTCACCGAACCTGGTGCAGGAGAGGACACGGGCTACAGAGTTTTGGATGATCTTCAGCCTATGGATGGAGGAGTTGGGGAGACCAACAAGCAAGGAGTTTGCAAAGTCAAGCCTGGATGTTATGAATGCATCTATGAGGGTTGCCTGCGGTGTGAGACAGTGGTGGAGCCAGGCGATGTTGTGGAGATGGGAGGGCAGAGTGGGTCATGGCACGGATTTGGAGTAGAAAGCATAGTTGAGGGTGAAACAAGATGCCAAGATTTTGGACTGGCTTAGTAAGGTGGAGTGTGCATCCATGGGTGGTGATGCTGAGGTGTGGAGGCGCTGACGGAGCCAATCAGGAGAGCCTCGGTCTTGTTGACATTCAACTGAAGAAAGTTAGCTCTCATCCAGGACTTGATGTCTGACAGATATTCCGTCAGGACACAATGGTCCTGGAGTCAAGGTTGGAGGCCAAGAGGTAGAGTTGTGTGTCATCCGCATATATGTGGAAGTTGATCCCACGTCTGTGGACGATGTCACCAAGGAGTATATAGATATTGAATAGAAGGGAACCAAGGACAGAGCCCTGAGGAATTCATTTTGACGGACGTTTTTAAAGGGGGGGGGGGGTTAACAGTGCCAGTGGACAGGGAGAGGTTTATGATGTCTGTGAGTAGAGGACAAGGAGGTGGTGCTGAGAGGTAAGGAGAGGGGTAGGGATGGGGTCAAGGGAGCAGGTGGTCGATTTCATGTGGGTTATAGTGATGGTGAGGGTAGTGGGAGAGTTTGGTGATGTAGAAGAGGAGCCTGGAGTTGTCCTTGGCCTCCAAGATTGTCTTGGGAGTAGAACAACGATTCTACTCCAGCCAGGGCGGAGGGGTAACATTTGATAAGGTCCAACCAGATCTGCCGATGGACCGTTAAGTTTGATTTAAGCCAGGTGCGTTCAGCGGCACGTACCTGTGCTTTAAGGCAGCGGAGGTGGTTGGTGAATTTTGTGAGTAGGAGATGGTTTGGGAAGTAAGGGGAGCAAGAGAATCAAGAGTGGTGGAGAGGGAGTTGTGGAGGAGAGTGACTGAGGATAGGTCATTGCGAGAGGAAGCCCAGAGTAGGAGTAGTTCAGATGGGGGGGGGGGGGAAGATTTTTTTCCAGGGGTGGTAGGTGATGGAGGTGGGTTAGGTGGCGGTGGGGAGAAGGATTGAGGAGTCAAGGGAGATCAAGTGATGGTCCGAGATCACTTTGTCGATGATGATGGTGAGGCCCTGAGTGATCACCAAGTCGAGGGGTTGATTGCGGACGTGTATGGCGGAGTGGATGTGGAGCGGGAGGTTGAGGGAGGGGAAGTCAGCAGAGGTAGAGCAGGAGGGGGTGAAGTGAAGGTTGAAGTTGCCTAGAATGAGGAGGCGTTCGGAGCAGAGGGAGAGGGAAGATAGGAGGGTGGAGAGGAATGTGGGGAGGTTTTAGGGGGGCGATAGATAAGGAGAATTTTGAGGGAAAGGTTGGAGGGGTGATAAAGGGTAGGGTGCTCAAAGAAGGGGAAGGTTCGGAGGAGTAAGGGGATAGGCCAAATGGGGACCAGGAAATGAGAGCCACCCCGCCAGTTAGGTCGTGGGGTAGGATGGAAGGTGTAGCGGGGTGGTGTGGCCTCCGTCAGGGGGAAGGTCTCACTTGGAGTGACCCAGGTTTCGGTGAGGGTGAGAATGTCGATGTTTTCGTCGACAATGAAGACTTGGATGGTGAGTGTTTTATTGGAGAGGGTGGGGGCATTTTGTAGGCCGATGCGGAAGGGACAGTTGGTAACGGAATTTGGGGGGTGGGGAGTGGGAGGATTGACAGGGAGGGTGGGGATGTGGATGAGGGAAGGGAAGTTGACTGCCGTAGTCAGGAATCGATGGGCCTTGTGATGAGAATGGGGGATAGGCTGTTGGACGGTTGAGCAGGGATAGGAGTCGGGGAGGGCGACGGGAGAGGAGGACTGAGCGGGAGTAATGGAGGGTAGAGACAGTTCTGGTTGGTGGTGGCAGCCAAAATGCGCACACCAAGACTAAGAGTGAACAGTGGGTGGGCGGTGGGGTGGGGGTGAGGCAGCCCGGTGGCATGGATCATAATGGGGAGAGGGGTACAATCTTATAATCCCAGTGAGTCCAGGCTGAGAAATTCAGTTTAAAGGTTATGATAAAATAGCCAGAGACCTGGCTCCAAGCTGGACATGACTGGGAGCTAAATATTCCAGGCTATAAGATCTTTAGAAAGGAGGGAAATTGGGAAAGGAGGTGTAGCAATATTGATAAAAGACACAATTACAGCAGTAGAAAGAAAGGATTTCAGTAAGGGTGATCAGGCCGTGGAAACACTATGGGTAGAATTAAGGAACAGCAAAGTAGGCAAGACACTGGTGGGAGTTGTCTACAATCCTCCAGATAGTAGTGATATTGGAAGGATTTATAAATACAGAGATCAGGGAAGCATGTTGCAAAAGCAATATGGTGGTAATGGGAGATTTTAATTTTCACATGGACTAGGAGAAGCAGAATAGCTCAAGTAGACAAGGCAACACATTTCTAGAATGTATTCAGGATAGTTTTCTGAAACAATAGGTTTTAGAACTGCAAAGGGAACTATGCCATACTAGATTTGGTGGTGAGTAACATACCAGAATGAGTTAACAATCTGACTGTAAGGGAACATCTTGCAAATAGTGACCATAATATGATTGACTTTTGAAGAGGGTTTGAGAGGGAGATGGGAGAGTCGCAAATCAAGATATTAAATTTAGGCAAGGCAAACTTCGAAGGGATAAAAAATAAATTAACTATGGTAAACTGGACTGAACTGTTAATGGGTAAGCCCATAGTAAGCCAGTGGGAAGTATTCAAAGAAGAATTTGGTACAATACAAAACCAGTACATCCCCCTAAAACACAAAATGGTCGACAAATAAGAAGCATGAAACTAAAAGAAAAGGCTTACACTAATGCAAGAAAAAGTAGAAATCCAGCAGACTGGGAGACTTATAAAAAGCAACAAAGAGATTAAAAAAAGGTGCAAAAAAGGAATGAGAAAAAACATTCAAAGCATATCAAGGGTAACCAGTGAAAGTCTTTATAAATATACTAGCTGTACCTGTTGCAGCTTCACTTGCAGCCAAGGGATCCAATGTGGAATGTAGATTACACACAGGACAGACATTTTATCTTTATCTACACTCATCTGAGAGGCCTCCTATGGGAGGACTTCTTTTGGGAGGACTCAGTGGGAGGACTCGGCACTTTAATAATGTAATTTTGTTGTTGTTGCTGCAGCTTAGCTTTGTCTGTGTTCTTTATTTTGTTCCCGCCGCTTGGCTACATGCTTGCTCTGTGACTCAGGAATCCACATCCTCCATGTACTCCATGAAGCTCACCAGCTGCTCCCTGGAGCGCATCCCCACCCCTCTCCTTAAATCCCAGCTCCAACCTCGTTGCTCCATTACTCGCTGACATCATCCGCTCCCTGTCATCTGGCATGGTTCCTACCCCACTCAAAACAGCCACTATCACCCCCACGTTGAAGGAACCTTCCCTTGACCCATCATAGCTATCCAGCTACTGGCCCATCTCCCACCTCCCTTTTCTGTCTAAGGTCCTTGAGAAAGCCATCACCTCTTTCCTCTCCTCCCACTCCCTCCATGAGCCCCTCCAATTGGGTTTCTGTGCTGCCCACAGCACGGAAACTGCTCTGGTCAAGGTCATAAATGACATTCTGACCATGTATGACCAGGGCTCCCTCTGTCTCCTTGTCCTCCGCGATCTCTCCGCTGCCTTTGAAACTGTGGACGACTCAATCCTCCTCCACCACCTCTCCTTCCACCTCAACCTTCAAGGTTCTGTCCTTGACTGGTTCAGGTCCTACCTTTCACACTGCCTCCCTCCACTTCAACTCTGCAAACGGCTTCTCCTCCAGCCCTCGCACCACCTCTTGCGGCGTTCCTCAGGGCTCTGTCCTCAGTCCCCTCCTCTACATGACACCTTGGTGACATCATCCGTAGATATGGGGTAAATTTCCACATGTATGTGGATGACACCCAACTCTATCTCTCTGCCTCCACCCTCAACTCCAGGACTTCTGGCGTCCTGACCGACTGTCTGTCCAACATCAAGTCCTGGATGAGGGACAACTTTCTCCAATTCAACTTCAGCAAGACCGAGACCCTCCTGATTGGCTCGCGCCAGCGCCTCCACACCTCAGGCGCTAGCAACATCAGCCTCCATGGCTGCACACTCAACCTCACTAAGCCAGTCAGGAACCTGGGTGTCTTATTTGACCCTTCTACCCCACATCCGCGCCATGACCGGCACTGCCTACCACCACCTCTGCAATATTGCCAGACTCAGCCACTGCCTCACCCCTCAGGTTGCTGAAACCCTCACCCACGCATTCGTCACATTAAGGCTCAATGATGGAAACTCCCTCCTCATCGACCATCTCAACTCTTCCCTTCACAAGCTGCAGATCATCCAAAACTCTGCAGCTCGTGTACTCTCACGCACCAGACTCTGTGACGCCATCACTCCCACCATCGCCTGACTCCAATGGCTCCTCATCCTTCAGAGGATCGAATTCAAGATCCTCGTCCTCACTTTCAAGGCCATCTATTGCCTTGCCCTGTCCTACCTCTCTGACCTGCTGACTCTCTACCAACCTGCCCGCTCCCTCCGTTCAGCCAGCTCTGGCCTGCTCCATGTCTCCAACCCGATCCACCCTACCATCGCTCTCTGCCCCCACACTCTAGAACTTCCTCCCACAGTCCTTCGCCTCGCTTCCTCCCTTGTCTCCTTCAAGGCCAGTCTCAAGATCCTCCTCTTCGATTGTGCCTTCAGTCGCCACTTCCCACCTCTCTGCCTTCCCTCACCCTCCCCCATGCTCGGGTCCTGACCCGACTGTTCAGCGCCTTGGGACGTCCTCCCGACATAAAAGGCGCTCTGTAAATGTAATTTTGTTATTGTTATTGTACATACATAGGTGCTCTGTGACGATGCCACAGTGCCACTTCGACTCGGCGGCCACCTGGTGTAACTACAGCAAAAAACACAAAACTGAAATAACTCATGAACGATAGGATACACCTGAAAACAAATATTCCCATACCACTCCTAGATGGAAGATCTTTCCGATGAGGTAAAAAATCATGTCTCTCGGTCAATCAGTTATTGAGATCCATCTTTAAGCACAGACAGACATTGTCGTTTTATTAGTATAAAGATAGATTATTAGTATAGAAGAAGATCAGAAGAAGATTAAGAGTGGTAAAGAGAGTGGGCTCATTAAATATAGATATAGGTGAGACTATAACAGACAATAACAAAATGGCAGGTTTGTTTGATTTCACAGTAAAGGAAGAGGACAAAATACCAGCGGTACAAGGGAACCTAACAATAAGCCAAAGGTTAAACTCTGCACCTTTAATTTGGTGGAACCATCGCACAATGAGAAGAGACTATGCTGCAGACAGAAAGACAATGGTAATGCTCTCACACATTTCACGCTGAGATGCACTGCCCGCTGGGGAGGTCACAGGGTGTTCCTTGTACCTACCTTGCAACGTACCTCGTGAAGGCTCAAACCCATCCTTGACTATCTTCCTTAGGGGCAGGGAGGTAAGCGGGGTCTCCTTGGAGCTGAACAGGCTCCAAGGTGACATGCTTGGCAAAAGAATGTCAGAATCGAGAGAGCCTTCTGTGGCAGTCTCAGAAGTCCAGTTCCTGAGCTTGGCGGGTCCAGTGCACTACTAATGACAGCACAGCCAGCCTGACTCATCGGCGGGACCTGGAAGGGCAGACCAATCACTGAGGATAGGGAATCATCCCACTCAGCCCCTGTTAACCTTGCAATTGGTAGTCCTAGCTGGACAAGCAGTGGGAAAGCTTGCCAGACTGTGATCCTGTGATGAGATAAATCCTTGGGATTTATCAATACCCAGTAAATAAAAATAATTAATCTTGCAATAATAATTCTTGCATTTGATATGGTACCTTATCGAGTCTTTGAGACATCTCAAAGCACTTCACAGAATATACTGTAAAGTGAATTGACTGTATATTTTGTGGGTGAAACATGGCAGCCAATTGTGCACAGCAGTGTCCCACAAAGAGTTGGGAATTGAGTGCGATCCGCCAATTTACTAATAACCAGGTTCCTATTTACTGCTAGGTAAACAGAGGTGTATGGAGTAAGGAATCTTGCCTAACATTTTGCCCTGCCTTGGAATCGAACCCAGGTCCTTGCTTGCTCTAACCACTAAGCACCAGGACTCCACGTGTCACATTGTATTCGGTACAGCACCTTTTACATGAGGACAAAGCCCTTCCGCGAATGTTACTGTGATTTTACAGTGACTGTGTTTGGATCTGGAAGTGGTCAGACACTTTCAGAGGGGAGAGGAATGCTGAGGAAGATGAGTACGCTTCTCAGTTACCTTGGCCAGCAGAGTGTTGAATTGCCTCCAGTTCAGAGGCAACAGGAAATCTTCAATCACTCTGCGGAAGTCGCTTTTGGTGACAGCCAACTTTTTATTCAGGTCGTAGGCACAGAAAATTCTCCTCAGTTCACTGTTCCTTTCCCGCACTTTTTGACCAAGATCCTGCTCGAATTTTGTAAAGGACTGTTTGAAATCATGGGCATAGGTCATGCCTAAACCTAGGAAAGAGACCCTTTAATAAATTCTTCAGCAGCTTCTGTTTAGGAACAATAGACGCACCATATGTAAACTCAGGCAAACGGTGCAATGTTATGCTGTGATCTGTTGCAAAGGGGTAAAAATTAAAAGTGCAGCATCTAAAAAAAAAGTTTGGATTGTGGATTGTTTTGGATAAAAACTTTTGAATGATAGATCGCCTCTGCAAACATAAAGAAACGAGTGACGTAGAAGGATTTTACAAAATGGAATCAATCAGAAACAAGGTGGATGTTATTTCACAGGCAAGCCCGCAGTTAATCCTGAAATCTGATGAACTGAAATGAGCATCCAATTAATTTGAGTTAACTATAATAATCCCTGCATTTGATACTGTATAGCACTCTCATCTGAACATCTCAAAGAACTTCACAGAATTTTAATGTAAAGTGGACATGTGTAGGTGAACATGGCAGCCAAATTGCAAACAGATTCCACTGTCAAACACAAATGGGATATTGCTTTGGATTGTGGATTGTTTTGCACTGGCTGGGACGCTACCACACGTGAAGGATGCTATATAGATGCAAGCTGTTGTTAACAACCCGCTTTGCCTTCCCTCACCTCCATCCCCTGACTCTGCCACTACCTAACACCTCTGAAAAGGCCGCTGAAACTCTTGTTCATGCCTTCATCACCTCCAGGCTTGACTATGCAAATGTCCTGCTTGTCGGCTTCCCAACTCCTCCCTCCACAGGCTGCAGATAATCCAGAACTCTGCAGCCCGTGTCCTCTCCCGCACCAAACTTCATGACCCCATCGCCCCCATTCTCGCCCGACTCCATTGGCTCCCTATCCTTCAGAGGATCCAGTTAAAGATCCTGGTCCTCACCTACAACGCCCTCCATGGCCTCGCCCCACCCTACCTCTGCGACCTCCTAACCCCCTACTAACCCGCCCGCTCCCTCCGATCAGCTGGCTCCGGCCTGCTCCACGTCCCCCGACCCACCCGCCCCACCATTGGCGGGAGAGCCTTCAGCCACTCTGCCCCCAATCTCTGGAATTCCACCCCTCAATCACTCTGCCTCGCCCCCTCTTTAGCCTCCTTCAAGTCCCGCCTCAAAACCCTCTTCAACCATGCCATCGGCCACCCCCCTTTCCCTCCCTTCCCCCACAACCCCAGCTCGGGTCTGAAATGCTGTAAACTGTCCAGCTCCTTGGGACGTCCTCCCGACGTGAAAGGCGCTACATAAATCTAATCTTGTTGTTGTTGTTAACATCTTATCCAGAGGATGGCACACAAGCAATGAAGCGCTCCCCACAGTACTGTATTGGAGCATCCACCTGGACGTGAACTCCAGTCCCCGATGTTATCCTGCGGAGTGAGTACCTCAGGGCTCTATCCTCAGCCCCTACTCTTTCTCTTCCACATGTTCCCTCTTGGTGGCGAGATCCACAGAGAAGAAGTTGACTTCCACGTATAATCGGATCACACCAATATCTATTTCTTCTCTCCCACCCTTGACTCCAGGTCCACCGATGTTCTGTCAGACATGAAGGCCTGGATGATCAAAAATTTCCTGCAACTGAATGTGGAAAAGATAGAAAAGCCATCCTCACCCACATTTTTGCAGGTTTCTCTAACACCGTCCTAACTCCAGTCCACAAACTCATCCAAAACTCTGCCGCCCAAACCAGACTCCACACCCCATCACCTGGCCAATGCTAAGCAAACCAATTTAAAATTCCTTGCCTTCATCCATAAATCCCTAGCACCTCTCTATCTCTATTCTCCAACTGCCTGCACCATTGTGAAACGCTACAAGGCATTATTCTATCTGAAATGTGCTACCTCTCCCCATCCAGCTGCCATAATCGCCCAATGCCCAGCTGCTAGAGGGACCAGGAGCAGGAACACTGGCTGATTACACCCTCGCTGACCCTTCATTGCCCCGGACCGTCTCTCCAGACGCATTGCTGATTTACTTGAAGTGGGTCGGAGCATTTCCCTGCTGCTTTTCCGTGATGGGGTCCTGGCGAAGGCTGACTGTGGCCGCAAGGACATGGGCATCCCGTGGCCCATTAGGCACAGCCCCGGCTGTGGCTCCGAATTGGCAGCCATCGCAGCACACATGGCAGGTTGGAAGTAAAGACCGGACAGCGGAGATACCTGGGCCTGGGTCGGTGTGCAGGGCCGGGGTCAGTGCATGGGACTTGGGGTCAGTGTGCGGAGCTCAGCGTCAGTGTGTGCGGCTTGGGGATGGGGTCAGTGTGAGGGGCCGGGGTCAGTGTGTAGGGCTTGTGGCCAAGGTCAGTGTGCAGGGATCGGGGTCAGTGTGCAGGGCTCGGGGCCAGTGTGCGGGGCTCGGGGCCAGTGTGCGGGGCTCGGGGCCAGTGTGCGGGGCTCGGGGCCAGTGTGCGGGGCTCGGGGCCAGTGTGCGGGGCTCGGGGCCAGTGTGCGGGGCTCGGGGCCAGTGTGCGGGGCTCGGGGCCAGTGTGCGGGGCTCGGGGCCAGTGTGCGGGGCTCGGGGCCAGTGTGCGGGGCTCGGGGCCAGTGTGCGGGGCTCGGGGCCAGTGTGCGGGGCTCGGGGCCAGTGTGCGGGGCTCGGGGCCAGTGTGCGGGGCTCGGGGTCAGTGTGCGGGGCTCGGGGCCAGTCGGCGGGGCTCGGGGCCAGTGTGCGGTGCTTGGGGTCAGTGTGTGCGGGGCAAGGGGTCAGTGGGTCCGGGGCTCGGGGTCAGTGTGTCTGGGGCTCGGGGTCAATATGTGTGGGACTCGTGGTCAGTGTGCGGGGCTCGGGGTCAGTGCGTGCGGGACTCGGGGTCAGTGTGCGGGGCTCGGGGTCAGTGAGCGTGGCTCGGGGTCAGTGTCCGGGGCTCGGGGTCAGTGTGTGCGGGGCTCCGGGTCAGTGTGTGCGGGGCTCCGGGTCCATGTGTGCGGAGCTCCGGGTCAGTGTGTGCGGGGCTCCGGGTCAGTGTGTGCGGGGCTCGGGGTCAGTGTGTGCGGGGCTCGGGGTCAGTGTGTGCGGGGCTCGGGGTCAGTGTGTGCGGGGCTCGGGGTCAGTGTGTGCGGGGCTCCGGGTCCGTGTGTGCGGGGCTCGGGGTCAGTGTGTGCGGGGCTCGGGTCAGTGTGTGCGGGGCTCGGGGTCAGTGTGTGCGGGGCTCGGGGTCAATATGTGCGGGACTCGTGGTCACTGTGCGGGGCTCGGGGTCAGTGCGTGCGGGACTCAGGGTCAGTGTGCGGGGCTCGGGGTCAGTGTACGTGGCTCGGGGTCAGTGAGCGTGGCTCGGGGTCAGTGAGCGGGGCTCGGGGTCAGTGTGTGCGGAGCTCCGGGTCCGTGTGTGCGGGGCTCCGGGTCAGTGTGTGCGGGGCTCGGGGTCAGTGTCCGGGGCTCGGGGTCAGTGTCCGGGACTCGGGGTCAGTGTGTGCGGGGCTCGGGGTCAGTGTGTGCGGGGCTCGGGGTCAGTGTCCGGGGCTCGGGGTCAGTGTGTGCGGGACTCGGGGTCAGTGTGTGCGGGGCTCGGGGTCAGTGTCCGGGGCTCGGGGTCAGTGTGTGCGGGGCTCGGGGTCAGTGTGTGCGGGGCTCGGGGTCAGTGTGTGCGGGGCTCGGGGTCAGTGTGTCCGGGGCTCGGGGTCAGTGTGTCCGGGGCTCGGGGTCAGTGTCCGGGGCTCGGGGTCAGTGTGTGCGGGACTCGGGGTCAGTGTGTCCGGGGCTCGGGGTCAGTGTCCGGGGCTCGGGGTCAGTGTGTGCGGGGCTCGGGGTCAGTGTGTGCGGGGCTCGGGGTCAGTGTCCGGGGCTCGGGGTCAGTGTGTGCGGGACTCGGGGTCAGTGTGTGCGGGACTCGGGGTCAGTGTGTCCGGGGCTCGGGGTCAGTGTCCGGGGCTCGGGGTCAGTGTGTGCGGGACTCGGGGTCAGTGTGTCCGGGGCTCGGGGTCAGTGTCCGGGGCTCGGGGTCAGTGTGTGCGGGACTCGGGGTCAGTGTGTGCGGGACTCGGGGTCAGTGTGTCCGGGGCTCGGGGTCAGTGTCCGGGGCTCGGGGTCAGTGTGTGCGGGGCTCGGGGTCAGTGTCCGGGGCTCGGGGTCAGTGTGTGCGGGGCTCGGGGTCAGTGTGTGCGGGGCTCGGGGTCAGTGTGTCCGGGGCTCGGGGTCAGTGTCCGGGGCTCGGGGTCAGTGTGTGCGGGGCTCGGGGTCAGTGTCCGGGGCTCGGGGTCAGTGTGTCCGGGGCTCGGGGTCAGTGTCCGGGGCTCGGGGTCAGTGTGTGCGGGGCTCGGGGTCAGTGTCCGGGGCTCGGGCTCAGTGTGTCCGGGGCTCGGGCTCAGTGTGTCCGGGGCTCGGGGTCAGTGTCCGGGGCTCGGGGTCAGTGTGTCCGGGGCTCGGGGTCAGTGTCCGGGGCTCGGGGTCAGTGTGTCCGGGGCTCGGGGTCAGTGTCCGGGGCTCGGGGTCAGTGTGTGCGGGGCTCGGGGTCAGTGTCCGGGACTCGGGGTCAGTGTGTGCGGGACTCGGGGTCAGTGTATCCGGGGCTCGGGGTCAGTGTGTGCGGGGCTCGGGGTCAGTGTCCGGGGCTCGGGGTCAGTGTGTCCGGGTCAGTGTCCGGGGCTCGGGGTCAGTGTGTGCGGGGCTCGGGGTCAGTGTCCGGGGCTCGGGGTCAGTGTGTCCGGGGCTCGGGGTCAGTGTGTCCGGGGCTCGGGGTCAGTGTCCGGGGCTCGGGGTCAGTGTGTGCGGGGCTCGGGGTCAGTGTCCGGGGCTCGGGGTCAGTGTGTGCGGGGCTCGGGGTCAGTGTCCGGGGCTCGGGGTCAGTGTCCGGGGCTCGGGGTCAGTGTGTCCGGGGCTCGGGGTCAGTGTCCGGGGCTCGGGGTCAGTGTGTGCGGGGCTCGGGGTCAGTGTCCGGGGCTCGGGGTCTGCAGCCTGGTTTTGATGCAGTTGCCAGGCATCCCGGATTCTGCCTCCTAATTGGACGACACATAGGCCACACGGGAGTAACCCGACTTGTCATTGGCTATCGTAGACCGCGCCCCACGGACTCTAATCCCACCCACCGGCTGCTGTGCTGCAATGATGAGCTCCAGTGTGGGGGCGGGAGGTCCAGTGTGGGGGCGGAGGGCGGGAGGTCCTGGGTGGGGGTGGTGGAGCAGGAGGTCCTGGGTGGGTGCGGGGGCGGGAGGTCCAGGGTGTTTTTGTATTTGGTGCAGCGTCTTTTACATCAGGACGGCATCCCAAAGCTCTTCACAGGATATACTGTAAAATGCAATGACTGTGTTTTGTGTGCGAAAGCACCAGATATTGTGTACACAGCGATGTCCCACAAACAGCCATGGAGCAAGTGACCATTCCCTCCGTGACTCCCTGGTTCATTCCTCCATCACCACCACCAATTGCTCTCCTCCCACCGGCAACTTTCCATGCCAGCGCAGGAGATACAATACCTGTCTTTTCACCTTCTCCCATACCACTGTCCAGGGCCCCAAAGACAGATTTCAAGTGAGAGAGTGATTTACTTGTATTACCACCAATGTAATTTACTGCATTCGCTGCTTACGATGTGTAGAGGAGACCACATCGACCACCAATTTACTGAACACCTCCGTTGTGTCCACAAGTACAACCCTGAGCTTCCAGTTTGCCTATTTTGTTGCAATTTTTCAAATTCCTCCTCTCCTCTGCACCCCCTACCTCTCTGACCTCTCTCCTCAAAACAGTACCCATTGCCTTCGTTCCTCTAGGTCTGGCCTTCTCCTCGTCCCCCGAGTCCTCCGCTCCACCCTCGGCGGCCGTGCCTTCAGCCACTATGCCCCAAGGCTCTGGAACTCCCTACCTCACTCCTTTCTCCCTCTCTTCCTATTTTCAGGTCTCTGCTGAAGACCTTTCTCTTCGACCGCGCCTTTGGTCACCTTCCTCCCCATCCCCCTTACTCAGCACCGGGATCCATTACTGTAAAGCGCTCTGAGACGCCGTCCGGCGTGGAGGGCGCTATAGATATCCAAGTTGTTATCTTGCCTCCCCTCTCCCTGTTAGTCCTTAAAAACCTCTCCCTCCCAATGTGCCCCAGTTCTGACGAAGGCTCGTGGACCTGAAACGTTGACTCACTTTCCTTTCTCCATAGATGCTGCCTGACTTGCTGAGTGTTGCCAGTGCCTTCTGTTTTTGTTTCAGATTTCCAGCATCTGCAGTATTTTGCATTTAGTTTTATTCTGTTCATTGCCCTGAACCCAACAAACCTGAAGAAATGCGATTTTTACACCAATTGACGGGAAGAAACCGCCAGACTGCAACCTGTAGGCAGGGAGTTAATGATTTTGAACAAGACAGGATTGCCAAGCAAAAAGAGAAACCTAGACAGAGGAAGGTGAGTCAGTCTGCTCCAACCACACCATCTATTTGGTCATCTCTCACCTGTCATATTTGTGGTAAAATACATCTCTCTAGGATTGGTCCTAAATGCCCATTAAAGACAAGGCCAATAGTAAAAACTCAAATTTCCTCTTTTTATTTGAAAAGCTGATGAACAATTTTACTCAATTATCGAGGGATTACCTATTATTATTACGAATTGGGGAATTATCGGCCAGGACACCTGGAGAAAGAAATTCCCTCTCTTTTCCAATAGCGCCAAACTCCGTACCCACATCTCACCAGTTCTGACCAGGCTCCACTGACTCCCCATCACCAAACGGATTGACTTCACGATCCTCGCACTTGTGTTCAAATCCCTTCACTCTCTGGCACCTCCCTACCTCTCTGATCTCCTCACTCCCCAATTGACCTCCGCTCGACTGGCACTGGCCTCCTGCTCGTCCCTCGCACCCTCTGCCCCACCATAGGAGGACGTGCTTTCAGTCACTATGCCCCAAAACTCTGGAACACTCTCCCTCAATCCCTCCTTGTCACTGTTAAGTGTTCTGAGATGCTAGCCTGCGTGAAGGGCGCTATATAAGTGCAAGTTGTTGTTATTGTTTTTCCACTACCTTTTGTGTAAAAAAATGCTTTCTGATTTCACTCCTAAACAGCCTAGCTCTCATTTTAAGATGATGCCCTTTTGTTCTGGATTCTTCCAGCAGAGGAAATAGTTTATCTGTGTCACCTGATCACACACAGACAGGACCCCGGTTTAACGTCTCATCCGAAGGACAATACCTCTGACAATGCAGCCCTCCCGCCAGAGCTGCACTGGAGCACCAGCTTGGTCGATATAGATTGCAAGTCCTGACACAGGGCTTGAGCCCACAATCTTCTGAGTCAAAGGTGAGTTACTACCAACTGAGCTAGGCTGACACACAAGGGATCATTAGAGAAGCATAGAAGCAAACCATAAATACCTTACATTAAATACAATAAAAA